GGCTGCCGTGAGACGCGCAGCGCTGTTTGCATTACATCATTAACAGCTGAGCCAGATCATCTCGACGGGCAGACCAACTCGACAGAACACCGGCCCAACAACAACATTTATTTTTTGACCCATGAAAATAACAAATAATGAATGGACTTTAAATTCTTAAAATATATTAATGTAATACAATATTTTGAGAATACTATTATTTATTGATATTTTCTAGTACCCCTTTAATTGTTTCCCGAACATTTGGTGGATCACCTTTAGTCAATATTTCTTCCTGATGCTTGGAACTGAAATCTCACTTTTTCATCAAACTGCATGTCAACCATTCGGTTAAGACGAATTAGAAAGCGATGGAAATGTTTTTGAATGATGAAACCTTTCAGGATGATTATTAAATTAGCAATATGTAAGATGTTCATGTCGAGTCATCATTAAATGGCTCTAATATGTGAAAAGGCATTAATAAAACATGCTCTTTTCCAATACTTCTTTAACTAATAACAGTGGTCCAGCCGAGATATTCAAATTTCAAAAATAGTTTTATAGCACCTAAATCTTCTTATTGTTTTCATGTTGATGTCCCGCCCTCCACTGTTTTACCAATCAGAAAGTTTGTGATTTGGGTTGCCAGAACTCACAGCATCAAGCTAATCTCCAGTGGGGGCGGGTCCCAGCTCTAAAGTGGCCAAAATGAGGTGCGCTGACCTGCTTGCAATACCACCCCGGGTCGATGGGGGTGGACCCAGAAGTAGAATTAGCCAATGCTAACATATAGCATTGGCAGACCTCTCAAAAACGTCTTTACAGGATGGACCAAAAGTTGGCTCTTGTCGGCGGAGATAGGCGTGACTCTGTCCATTGATATATACAGTCTATGCTAATCTCATGGTAAAGTACCATGAGGCCGCAAAATTAAAACAGGTCCCGTTATGATTCTCAAATCAAAACAAAACAAGGAATATCTGCATATCTGGCAACCTGAGTCAGGGAGAATGGGATATTGAACTATGGTTTTGGATATATGGACCTTGAAGTTGTGTTTTTGTAAATGTGTTCCTATTGTGCAACTTGCTAAGTTTAAATATGTTTTTATGTTAACTTCAACATTGTAATTGTTTCGCTCCTGGCTTTGTGCTGGAGCCATTTTCCCTTGTTTTCTTTTGCTGCCTCCTGCCGCTGAGTGGCGCCACCTCTCAATGGTGGGGCACTAATCATATAGGTGTTGTAGTGTGGAGGACATCATCTTTTTACCGTTGTCTGTCGCCGCAGTTATAGATTTAGATCAGTGTATTTTGTGTTTGGCTGCTTCGTTTATAAATACATTTGAAGAAAGTCAATTAAAGGTGTCCACATCTCTTCAAAGTGCTGTGCCTTTCTGCTTTACAACATATGTTCTCTAGAGTAACACACAGGGTAATTTCCTTGATCCATGACTGTGCAGAGGATACTTCAGGCTCTTTCCAGCTCAAAGCCACCCTCCTCCTGCAGGAGGCCAAAGTCCATTAGTCCTGTCATTGTTGTTACTAGAGGGATAGTCTGGGTTTACCCCCAGAAAGTTTTGCAGTGCACAGTATAGAATGTTTGTGATGCTACTTAGGAACAGACAACATTTTCCAAAAAGTGCAAGAGCAGCATATAATATAGAGATTTGGTGTTTCCACTGTCCATGCTTCATCCTGACCTTCTCCAGACGGACAGCAGCGGCTCCTGAACAGGTGCTCTCTATCTTCTGACAAAATAAAATGCTTCAGTTGTAAATACTTGGGAAAATGTTTTGTTGCAATTAAATATTTTAGATGTTGGTCATTGAACGTTAATAATATGCCCTTTTTTCCCAATTACAGGTCAGTATTACCGATTCAGTCTGTACTCTTTGGTTCTTTTTGAAACGGACCGTAAAGTAATCAGTCTAGATTTTCTATTGTTCCAGATAAATCTACTAAGAATCTTGTTGATTTCCTGAATAAAATTATTTGGCAGTGGCAGTGATTGAAACAAGTGAAAATATTTCGGCCGTATCAGTATCTTGATTAAATTAATTGGGCCTATCATTGAAACAGTCATTGTTGTTCATTTTTCAATAGATTCACATACTTCACCCATAAAAGGATCATAATTTGCTTTAACAATTGTTTTGATTTGGGGTAATCTTAATTCCAAGATAAGTAAAACCTTCCTTTGCATTAAGAAACGACGATTGTATGACTGGATTATTCCTTTGGGACGGCACGGTAGCTGAGTGGATGGCACTCTCGCCTCTCAGCAAGAAGGTCCTGGGTTCGAATCCCGGCCGGACCAGGGCCTTTCTGAGTGGAGTTTGCATGTTCTCCCCGTGTCTGCGTAGGTTTCCTCCGGGTACTCCGGTTTCCCCTACCACTAAAAATATGTGCAATAGGTCTGGCATGCACCTCCTGTTCGGCGACCCCGCTCCCATCTCTGTGTGGAGTGAGAGGACAAATGCCCCAAAAAAGAATAACAATTGTAAACCGCTTTGTGACTCTGGTCTGTGAAAGGCGGTATATAAATAAAGCTTACTTACTCACTTTCCTCATTGTTTAGGAAGATTTTGTGTCATTGCTATTGTATCCCGAAAACCTACCAAATGTATTAATTAACTGTAATATTGCTGGGATGTTGATGGATAATTTGGACAACAAAAGTATCACATCATCAGCAAATAATGATATTCTATGGCCTTTGTCTCCAATATCAATTCCTGATCAACTTGTTTCATTTCTAATTGATATGGCTAGTGGTTCAATGGCCAGAATAAACACTAATGGAGACAGAGGGCAGCCCTGCCGAGTCGATCTTTCTAAGGTTATTGTGCTTGATATATTGTTATTGGTCCTTAGCACATGCTTCACGATCAGAGTATAGTAACTGTATCCATTCAAAAAACTTCCCCCGATTCCATATCTCGGCAGGACATAGAATAAATAAGGCCACTCGATTCTATCAAATGCCTGTCTTGCATCTAGAGACAACAATGCTGCGTCTCTGGCATTGTTTTTACAGAGTATTATATTAAGAACTCGTCTAATGTTGTGAAAGCCCTGTCGGCTCCTCACGAATCCATTCTGATCCATTATGTACTAAAGAGGGAAGGTATGGGTCTAATCTTTTTGCAAGGACTTTACATCATATTTTTGTGTCTATTCCCATGAGACCTTGTATCCAGAAACTTTTTAAACTAAGAGAAAGTCTGTACAGCCTTCGGGGAACTGGTTATTTCAAAAAGGACTGGGCAAGAACAAACATAAAAAGTAGATGTGTCTCAGTGAGTGGAGTCACGTTATGGAACAATCTCGATGACCATTTAAAAACAGCAAAAACTTTGAAATTGTTTAAAAGGGGGATTAAATCCCAAATTGTTGATAAATACCGAACAATGGTCTGAATATTTGTAACTATAGGCTAAACCTTTGTTTCCTTTTGTTACTCATCGTTACTGGACGTTGCTGATACTGTATCAGCTTGTATTGTTTCAGCTTGTATATTTTGTGTTCCTATGGAAACGATCCGTTTCCTTGTACTGGGTCAGGCGAAATAAATTTAACTTCAGCCTGAACCCTTTGGTCGCATATTGTAATTCTGCTGTTTTGTTGACAGTTAACTGTAACTTTGTTTCTCATGCTTGACCGAATAAACTACTTCTACTACTACTACTTAATAATAGGCCTATATGATGAGCAGTCAGTTGCTATTTTACCAGGTTTTGAAATAAGTGCAGTTTACTTAGTGATATCAAAGGATTCATTAAACATATTCAAGAGAGGAGTCAGATACTTTTGTAAAATTCTATAGGCAAACTAACAGGTGCAAGAACTTGACCAGAATTTAGGCTTTTTATGGCTTGTACAGTGATGTCATTATCCAAATCTTCCTCCGTGAGTTCTCGAAATGAAAGAGGATTAAGGAAATTGTCTTGGCAACAGATTCTGATCCATACAATGATTGACAAAAGTTTTTCAAAGCATTGTTAATGTCCTGTGGATCATTTGGGATTTCTCCTGATTGTTTGGTTATACCATTAATGGCTTTTTCAGATTCTATCTTCTGTATTCTATCAAAACAACTTATTAGTCTAGTTTGTGTCCTACATCTTAGAGAATCCAAAAAAGACAGAATGACATTACTTTCTGAGGGAGTGACCCCACAGTGATCTGAGCCGGTGAACGTGGCTCAGATCCGGTGATTTCCACAACTTCAGTGAAACAGGAAATGTGTCAAGTTTTACTTCACTTAAAAAAAAATGACTTCCCTTTTTTAAAACATGATTTTCATGAATCTTAGAAACACCTGAAGCTGCGACCTCCAACAGGCACAACATCAGAAGCATCAGCAGCAGAGACTGATGTTCATACACTGCGGGTCTTCGGTCCAACAGTGGATCATCACAGAAGAAGGGCCGCTGCAGAGTGGATGGTGGTGGAGTACTTTGAGTGATTTCATTTCAGTGCAATGATGGATCTAGTGGCGTGGAGAGTCTGAAGCAAAGTGGACATCTGCATTAAAGAAGAGTTATAGATTTCCGTAGCAACCGTTGCTTTTGTGATTGTTCTCCTAATGGAAAATAAAATGCAGTGCTATGGATCCTGTGCTTGCATGTGAGTCCTTAATAAAGTCTAAATGAAAAAATAAAAACATTACGTAAAAGTGCAAATGTTCTGCTGCACAAGATCATTGTCTCCCGTTCCAACTGGAGAAATCTAAGATATGGGGACTGTGTTTGTGTTGTTGCGTCAGCCTGATGCTGCTCCTACTGTTATTGCTACTACCACTGCTTGAGTCTTTCTTATCTCTTGTCCCATAAACCACAGTTTCTCAAAACCAGAGTTTCCTCATTACATTACGATTACTGCACACTTCCTGGTTTCTGTCCAATCACACAGCTCCATTCTCAGATCAAAACCACCCTGTTCTCACCTGCTCTCCTCACTCCACTCCAACTCTGGTCATTCACATCTGGTCCACAACATCTACTGATCAAATACAATATGGGGAATTTTGCAGCAAATGAAGGGCTGTCTGTGTTTGTCATCGTAAGTACATTAAAATTCTAATTATAATAAATAATACCTAAGCAATAGACAGTCATAGTAGAAGACATGTTATATTTTGAGTAAGAAAGATCCCTGTGAGTCACTATTTGCCTCTTCGGGCTTGGGGTTGATTGGCTGAGTGATGGGGGGGGGGGGGGTCCTATTTGTCACTTTTCTGCCTGAAAAGTTTATCTAAAGATGTGACAGGTAGAAATACATGAAACTAGTGACAGAACCAACTGTTTTAAATAAAACTGTTTTAAAGGTTGTGTACACTAGCTTTAAAATAGTGGGTTATAAGTGTCAGAATACAGCTTGAATCTCTCTCTGGTCCATCTATGGTCTCTCTCTAGACTCTTTCTGTGGTCTCTCGCTCTCTTTCTAGATAGATAGAAATTCAGATAGATAGATAGAAATTCAGATGTCCAGTGGTAGCAAAAATAAAAAATAAAATTGATCATTCTAAAAAGCTAACAATAGTAATAGTCAGCCACAGTCCTTCAGGTCACAGCAGCAGAGGTGGAGTAGCTTCTGGGTGGAGCAGGACGGGTCGCAGCAGCAGAGATGGAGTAGCCAGTGCAAAACTTTGCACACTGTACTGCAGCAACATCTCAGGCAGAAAAAAGCAACACAAATAAAAATTGATCAAGCACAAAACAACAACTGTTTTAGAGCTACTTAGGACTTGCAGTCGTTTCCAGGCGCATCGTTCAAAAAAAAAAAAAAAAAAGTCTAGGTCTCTCTCTGGTCTCTCTCTGAATTCACTTTGAAAATAAAACTGTTTTTGTCTCTGTTACAGTTTGTCTGGTTTGGCATCAACGTCTTCCTCTTCGTTCACTTCTACCTGGCTTTTCTCACTCCAAAATGGTTCTACACCAGGGTCCTGCTCGGCGTGAGTCTCTGTTTTAGTCTTTTCTCCAGTCTCTGCCTCAGTCTCTTCCCACTCTGAGGCCTGGGGGTGGAAACATGAGGGTTCGGGGCTACTTTTCTTCTACAGTGTGGGGATCCTGGTGAAGAACTCTCGTTGCTAAAGCGGTGTGAAGCGTCACGTTGGAAAAACCGCTATCACAGATTGTGATTCTGAACCTTAAAGCTTAATCATTTCCTAAAAGAAAACAACAGCTGCTACTGACCTCACTGTAGCAGCAGCAGCAGTGGAAGTAGTATTAGTTTCAGTAGCAGTAGTAGCAGTGGGCGACAGTAGCTCAGTTGGTAAAGCATTGGCCTTTGAGCCAGAAGGTCGTGGGTTTGAGCCCGACTTTCACCATCGACTCCCACTGTCTGCTGTCGTTGTGTCCTTGGCAAGACACTTGACTTCTGGGAACACCAGCCACAGTGGGGCGGCTGCGGCTGTAAAGTGCCAAACTGCTGTTGTGTCCTTAGGCAAGACACTTGACCCCCATTACCTAGAATGAGCCTGGTGTCTGTGTGAATGGTTAGTGGTGGTCGGAGGGGCTGATGGCACAGACTGGTTGCCTTGCTTCTGTCAGTGTGCCCCAGGGCAGCTGTGGCTACAGTAGTAGTTTATTACCACCGTGTATGGAGTGAAAGAATAATGACATGTGAGGCGTCTTTGAGTGTCCAAAAAAGCGCTATATAAAACCGATTATTAGCAGTAGTAGTTATAGCAGCAGTAGTAATACAGTACTAGCAGTACTAGCAGTAGCATCAGTACCTCTAACAGTCTCTCCTCTCATCAGCATGCCTTGTCCTGGGCCAGAGCTCCTGCTGCGTGTCTGAACTTTAACTGTATGTTGATCCTGCTGCCAGTCTGCAGGAACCTGCTGTCCCTGCTGCGAGGAACCATCCAGGTACCAGACATGACAGCAGGCATTAAAGCTGAAGCACGTAACATTCAATCCACAACATTAGAACTCTGTAATCTAACTGCTGGGTTGCAACCACGTGACCAAAAGGTGGTGTGGAAAGGGGCCGTAGAACAGGAAGTGATTTTGTTCTATAAATTATAATGGGCGAAGCGGAAATCATACACAAAGGAGCTTTTCACGGATTAGTATCTCTCTTATTTTGAGTGAAAACTATTTTCAATGCAGTGCACACCATGTAGAGTTTGAATAAGTAAAAAACTTTTCATATCAAAAATGAGGAGGATTAAGCGTCTGAAGAGTGGAGTCACTCAACAGAACCAGTTCTGATCAATAATACAATAAATAGAGGCACAAATATTACTTTTAACAACATTTGAGGCGAGAAATATGACACTTTTTTGTCATTTCGGTGATTTTTTTTATCTGCAAATAACAAAAAGTTAGGACTTTAAGCTCCTCGCGGCACAGAGCTAGGATACCACTTCAGACATTAGCCCGGTCCACACAGTCCCAGAAGAAAGTGACAAAGAGAGGACCACCCTCACTCAGCCAATCAGCTCTCAGCACAAAAACACTCACAGTAGTAACAGGACACAGGCTCACATTGCTCTGATTAATTTCAATGGGTTGTGTGTTTGCTTCAGTGCTGCAGTCGAACCGCAGCGCGACAGTTGGATCGCAACATCACCTTCCATAAACTGGTGGCTTATATGATCGCCTTCCACACAGGTACGAGCCAGAGAGGACCCAGCCCCAGCTCTCTGGTCTCTCTTTCTGGTCTCTCTCTGGTCTTTCTCTGGTCTCTCTCTGGTCTCTCCCTAGTCTCTCTCTGGTCTCTCTCTGGTCTCTCTTTCTGGTCTCTCCCTAGTCTCTCTCTGGTCTCTCTCTGGTCTCTCCCTAGTCTCTCTCTGGTCTCTCTCTGGTCTCTCTTTCTGGTCTCTCCCTAGTCTCTCTCTGGTCTCTCTCTGGTCTCTCCCTAGTCTCTCTCTGGTCTCTCTCTGGTCTCTCTTTCTGGTCTCCCTCTGGTCTCTCTCTAGTCTCTCTCTGGTCTCTTTATGATCTCTTTCTGATCTGTTTCTGGTCTCTCTCTGCTCTCTCTTTATGGTTTCTGTCTTCTGTTATAGCGGTTCACATCATCGCTCACTTGTTTAACTTTGAGTTCTTCATGAACGCCCAGTTGGACCAGAACCGGACTCTGCTCCCGTTCGTTCTCTCTGAGATTGGAACCAACGACAGTCTGCCTTTCATCAACCCCATACGCAACAACCAGACGGTGAGAACCAGGGTCTAGACCTGCTTCAGTCGCTGCTTCAGTCGCTGCTTCAGTCTCTGCTTCAGTCTCTGCTCTCTGGTTTCTCAGACCTAGTTTAGTCTAAGCATCAAACCTAATTGTTTTCACTGTATCTCAATAACAAAGATTGAAGTTTCGTCAGACTGAGTTTCCCCGGTCACTGCTTCCTCCTTTCATCATCACAGACTTCTTTTAGACGGAGGTGACGCTCGTGACCATCAAAGGTCAACGGTTTTTCCAAGACGCTGAGACCTGGTGGTCCTTGATTAGTTCAGTCAACGTTATACTATTGTTCTCACTTTGTTTTACTTTTTAATGTATTACAAACTGAATTTTGACTCACTCTCTGAACAGTCTGTTTTCAGTCTCTCTCTCTCTCTCTCTCTCTCTCCCAGTCCCAGACAGTAGTCCTCTTCACCACAGTCGCAGGTCTCACAGGAGTCGCCATCACTCTCGCTCTCATCCTAATCATCACCTCGTCCACTGAGGTCATCCGCAGGTCCTACTTCGAGGTCTTCTGGTTCACACATCACCTCTTCATCATCTTCTTCATCGGACTCGTCTTCCACGGATTCCAGTAAGAGACCAGAGAGAAAGACCAGAGAGAGACCAGAGGGAGACCAGAAAGAGACCAGAGAGAGACCAGAGAGAGACCAGAGAGAACAGAGAGAGACCAAAGAGAGACCAGAGAGAGACCAGAGAGAAACCAGAGAGAGAGCAGAGAGAGAGAGGAGAGATAGACCAGGGAGAGACCGAAAGATAGAAAAGAGAGAGACCAAAGAGAGACCAGAGAGAGAGACCAGAGAGAGAGACCAGGGAAAGACCAGAAAGAAACCCCAGAGAAAGAGAGACCAGAGTTAAACCAGAGAGAGACCAGAGAAGACTAAATAGAGAGAGCCCAGAAACCCCTCTCTCACTGCTCTGAACATGTGTATGTGCAGACGGATAGTTCGTGGTCAGACCGATGTCAGTCTGAGGTCGGATCCTCCAGAGAACTGCTCTGAACTCTTCCAGGACTGGGGCCAGAACGGGTCTCAATGTGCGGTGCCCGAGTTTGCGGGAAACGCCCCAGTGGTGAGTGTGTGTGAGAGGAGGATTTGTGTGAAGCAGAAGTTTTAGCTTAAAGGTCCAATGTTTGGCTCTCCTTCAGGTTTCAGAGTACGTCCAAAGCACAGTTGTGATAATAATTTGGGTGATACAGAATACAACACTCAAAACACTGACTTAGAGGTAAACACACAACTCATTTCAGACCTGAGAATAACTTTTTCCAACAATGGCGATCCGTCACATTGAGCCTTACGCCCGCGATCCAGAATCAGACTCTGATTATTTAGTTGACGAAAGTAAATTTTCATTTTTTCCAAGTCACATGATGCTAACAAAAACACTGTGGCAAAAACATCTGGGACTGTGGGACTTCGCAGGACAGTGTTTGTGTTGACAGTTATAATCTCTGAATGCTTCTGGTTCTCTCTCTCTCTCTGGTTCCTTCAGACCTGGATGTATGTGGTCGGCCCCATGTTCTTGTATCTGTGTGAGAGACTCGTCCGATTTTACCGATCACACCAGAAAGTCGTCATCACAAAGGTCAGGACACAACACTGGTCTCTCTCTTGCTCTCTCTCTTTCTTGTGTCTCTCCCTCTCTGGTCTCTCTCACAACACAGTGCTCAAGAAGCACCCCTTTGGTTCTCTCTTTGGTCTCTCTCTGGTCTCTCTCTCCGGTTTCTCTCTGCTCTCTCTCTCTCTGGAAGTCTCCCCTGGTCTTTTCCATACATTTGTATCAACACTTTACAACATGACATAATTAAAATACTATGGTGTGAAAGTTACATACCCCAGCTTTACCTGGGTCTGGATCTCAGTGGTGATGCACCCGTCCCGGACCCTGGAGCTGCAAATGCGGAGGAAGGGTTTCCGGATGGAGGTGGGACAGTACGTGTTCGTCCAGTGTCCCGGCGTGTCCCGGCTGGAGTGGCACCCCTTCACCCTCACCTCAGCCCCAGAGAGGACCACTTCAGCGTCCACGTCCGCATCGTGGGCGACTGGACCGAGGGGCTCTACAAGGCCTGCGGGGGGGACCACCAGGACAGCAGCAAGCCTGGAGCCTGCCCAAGTGAGACCAGAGACTAGAGAGAGATCCGAGAGAGAGAGCTGAGAGAAACAGAGAGGACTAGAGAAGGAGTCCAGGCAAGAGAGAGCAGAGAGAGAACAGAGAGAGGCCAGAGACTAGTAAGGGAGTCAAGCGAAAGAGAGAGCAGAGAGAAACTGGAGAAACCAGCGAGAGACTAGAGAGGGAGTCCAGAGAGAGACCAGAGAGAGACCCAGAGAGAGACCAGAGAGAGACTAGAGAGAGACCAGAGAGACTAGAGAGGTAGTAGACCAGGGTGAGGCCAGACAATAGAAAGACCCATATGACTTTATTTCTCAATCTAATACATGAAAATAGTTTGAGAGACAGATGACCTCTGTCCTCAGGGTAGCCATTGATGGTCCGTTCGGGACGGCCTCTGAGGACGTGTTCCAGTACCAGGTGGTGATGCTGGTGGGAGCTGGGATCGGGGTCACGCCCTTTGCCTCCATCCTCAAGTCTGTGTGGTACAAGCACGTCCAGAAGAACCAGGAGACCTTCACCAAGAAGGTGAGAACCAGGTGTAGCAGGAGAGGGGACCAGGAGACAGACACCAAGAAGGTGAGTCCCAGGGGAGCAATAGCAAGAAGGTGAGAGACCCTGACATACTTCTGCTGGCTATGTCCTAGTTTACTCTGGTCTGGTTCAGTCTGGTCTGGTCTGGTTGAGCCTGCTCTGCTCTGGTTCAGATCTACTTCTACTGGCTTCGTGTCCGGACTGACTATGAGGCCTACAACATCTCGACGCGCTGGAGTAGGTACCGTACAGGTATTTACTGCTACTGCTTTTTATCTGTTTAGCAGGCGCGCTCCCTTCCATGTGTTCATTCACTGAGGCGGAGAACCGACCCGATCACTGGACCTCAAAACAGAACACTCGGTTCGGAAAACCAAACATGGGGACAATCGGTTCACGCTGCCGGCGTCCAAACTCCCAATAGGTTGACTACCCCTGTTACTACTACACCTGCTGCTCCTAACGAAAACTCGACTACGACTACTGATACTGTTACGACTGTGACTGCTACGGCGAAATTACTACTGCAGCTACTTTTACTAGCTGCTGATACTTATTATGTCAATGTTAATAGAGCATATGACGTCCCAGGATCCCCTGTTGAGGAACCCGCACGATCAGCTTCATTACAGTTTAGGCTCCAGGATGCCCTTTTTCGTTCTAACTTGTGGCTGTTTGTGATTGGGCTGAGACAGACACGAACAGGTGCAGAGTTAGCTCACAGGTGTTTAGCTCTTTAGCGTCTTAGCTCCTGTTAGCTTCACTGGTCTCATCTTCTCCTGCCAGGAACTAAAGTGAGCGTGTTCCTGTGTGGACCTCCACACTCGGGAAGGCCTGGAGAACCAGTGTCTGTTGCACTCAGCGGACGACGTTCAAGTTCATCTTCAAAAGGAGAACTTCTGGATCCGGGTTCAGAACCTGCTTTCGAGCCAGGTCAAGGGGCTGTTCTTCTGAAGATTTTTAGCTCTAAGGGTTGCTCTAGTGGCCAAATTTAAGGAATTATTCTTAGAAATTCCCCTAAAAGTGAAGAGTCATTCTAGTTATGAAAAAGTATTCTAAAGACCCTAGCTCTTAATGAAGGCGCTACTAAGGAGAGATCTCTTAAGAGTAGAGAGGAGGACTTTTTAGCGACTTCCCTTAGAGGTAAAAAATGGTGGACGGAAGAGGCAAGAGAGATTTTCTACAAAACTGGATGAGAGTGGGCCAATTTACCTCTCAAGTCACTTTTTTGCGCATTGACCAATTGAGCCAGACGCAAACACATGTCCTCTTTCCCGTTGGGTTTCCTCTTACTTTTATTCTCCATATCGATTTTCAGTGTTTGTGGTATTTACAAAGTCAACCAACACGGGGGGGGGGGGGGGGGCTTTGTATAGGCCGATCCGGAATCACAGTAAAAGTTGAAAGAGAAAAAAAAGACCAGCATGGCAATTAATATTATCACATAAATTATAACTATCACTGTGTTAAAACTGTGCACGTGGGCCTAATTTTGAATACACATTCTGTCTGATGATTGAAAATTAGTAAAGCATTAACTTATAGTCACAGCCATTCATTTTACATTCTATCTTTTGTGCAGATTATTTACAATGGAACAGTCTTCCTAAGATTTCATGATTAAGTTTATCCATTTGAGAGTCCTTATTTTGCCCATTATCACCACAAAAAGTATGTTTTCTCTAACTTTTAGGATCAACCAATCACAAAGACTGACTTATACCTAGCAATGGGGTTTAAGATAGGAGTTTTTGTCCATTCCTTGTTCAGAGTTCTCTGAGATACTGTAGTTCTGGAATCACTTTTAAGCTAAGACTCCGAGCTAGGAGTTATTAGTTTAACTTAGGAGCTTTCTAGGACGATCAGATTATTTAGGCATATGGCTCCTGGAATTTCAGTCTTGGGTTTGTTACACCCTCTGCTTTAAACCCGCGCTGAAGATTTTACCTCAAATTGTTTGTCAATAAACATTGTTAATAAATGTTTTTATCAATAAAAAGTCTCGGCTTCAGTCTCATCTTTAACAAATCCATTTCCATTGTTTCTTACATGTTAACTTGTGTTAATGACAAGATCTTGTCCAAACTGCTGCAACTTTTTGGTGTTGAAATATTCACGAAATCTCAACATTTCAAAACTTCCCATTTCCTAAATGCCTCCAGTTCACATGACAACTAACATTTTTTTACTAACAAAAAATCAGACTATCACACACACTTTTACTGCTCTAAGTTTTCTGACCTAATAAATCCTTGTTTCTATTGTATCACATGACTCACTAATTTAATGCTTCAGTGCTCTCTGGAGAGATCATGTTTAAACCCTTTTCTCCAGAGTCAGTGCAGTCCCCTCTTTCGATGCCAGATGGGAGTGTTGAGCACTTCTCATGACCACTCACGTGTTTTGAGTCACAAACAACAACATCAGAGAAACATGTGATTTTTATTGCAGGCGTTTGGTGAAAAAGGCAAAGAAATTAAAAGGCAGTTTGATCTCAGACACTTTTGAAAAGAAACAAATGTTTTGATTTTAAGCCGTGGACAAAGCAAAGACACTGACGATGCAGAACATGTGTGCGATTCTCCCACTTCACTGTACTGCTGCCTGCAAACACACACACACACAGCTATGAAATACATATTATATACTAAATATACGTATGCCTCTGGAAAGTACTAATATCCTTAACCGTTGCACATTTTCACAACCATAACCATAAACATCAAAATTACATAATTTTACTAAAAGTTCACACACAAGTAAAAGCTGGCCGTGAAGATAAAGTGCAGTGATAATTGATTAAAACAGAGGCCTCCAGTGTGCGACCTACTTTCAGAATAAATACAGCTGTTCTGTGACTTTTCTTCACCGTGGGACGAAAAAAAGGATCTCTTGATCATCTTAATCTTGAACTTTATACCAACATTTCCCAAGATTCAAAAATCTCACGGAGCACCATCCATCCTTCTGAGATGCAGTTCACCTAAACTCAGATAGAACAAGGAGACCTGCAAGGAGTCCTGCTGGATCTGTACATGGGACATAACAAATCTAGCCTCAAGTATTAAGAAGAAAGGAACCATGTGAAATCTTGTTTGACATTTACCAGACGTCACACAGCACCATGTGGGAGAAGGTGCTCTGCTCAGATGAGACAACAAATGAACTTTTTGGCCCAACAGCAAAACGTTATGTATGACATCCCCAGCGTCAGATATGGTGGGGGGAGCATCATGCCATGGGGCTGCTTTTCTTCAGCAGGGACAGGGAAGATTGTAAGAATAGCTGGGAACATGGATGGAGCCAAATACAGGGACATTTTCAGCAGAACAATGACCCAAACACAATGGGAGGTTACACACATAGTCACGTGTTACAACGACACAGGGAAAGGGGCTAAACTTTGTGTCTTATAGATGTAGAATACTTGTGCCCAACCTCTTGGTTTTTTGATAAAAAAAAAAACAACAGAATCATGTATCATTTTACTTACACTTCATATGTCTGTTACTCATGTGTGAACTTTCAGGAAATAAAACATCAAAAAAATCTTGATATTTTATGGCTGTAAACATTAGGTTCAAGTTGTATTAATACTTTGAGAGAATCTGGATAAACAATCATTTCAAAGAGTTTCCAAAATGTTGGTCACCGTCCAGAGCCGTGTCCCAGAAACAGGAGTTTGCCGAATGTAGTCCAGCTCCCGTCTTCTGCGTCACTGCACAAGTCACTGAAACAAGGATTTAGAGCTGCTTTAGTCCTGCTTTAGTCCTGCTTTAGTCCTGCTTTAGTCCTGCTTTAGTCCTGCTTTAGTCCTGCTTTAGTCCTGCTTTAGTCCTGCTTTAGTCCTGCTTTAGAGTCCTGCTTCAGTCCTGCTTCAGTCCTGCTTCAGTCCTGCTTTAAGACCTGCTTTACAAGAGTCTGGGATTTCTCGATAGGAGATGTATTTCAGACATCAGGGCCTTGTAATAAAATCCTTGGATATGAATGGATAAACCACTACTCGCATCAAAGCACACGATTCAGCACACAACTCCCATGGGTTGCCAGATGCTGGCAAGATTTTCCAGCCCAAAAAAACCACCCAGAATAATTTTTTGGCAAAATAAGTAAAAAAGGTCCAGTTTGCATGTTTCTCCCTGTGTCTACGTAGGTTTCCTCCGGGTACTCCCGGTTTCCCCTACCACTAAAAACATGTCCAATAGGTCTGGCATGCGCCTCCTGTACTGGCGACCCCACTCTCGTCTCTGTGTGGAGTGAGAGACAAATGCTTCAAAAACTAAACAATTGTCAAACCGCTTTGTGACTCTGGTCTGTGAAAGGTGGTATATAAATAAAGATCACTTACAATTGTCTTTTTAATGACATGCATCTCTCCTTTTGTGTTAATGCTTAACTGTACACTGTCCCTGTTCAAATAAAGTACATACAATACAATACAATACTCTCTTTCTCTCTGGTCTCATGACTTTAGAAGACATAATTTGAAGGCGACAATCGTTTCGACGCTTTTCTTTTGTTCCCATTTCCCCTGTGGTGAAAGTTGACTGGTCCAGACAACATGGGCTGCTAAGCTAAATAGTATGGACAATTACAGGCCTATTGCCCTTGCGAGTGTTCTGTCTAAAATCCTAGAACGCATCCTGATTGCTAGGCTTGAAATTTACCTGAAAACAAATGACAATCAATTTGGATTTAAAAAGGCACAGCACTGATAACTGTATCTATGCACTGAAAGAAACTGTCAGTAAATACCTGGAGTTGAATTCATCTGTATTTTTATGTTTTATTGATGCTAGTAAGGCTTTTGATAGAGTGAACTACTGCAAACTGTTCCTACAACTTGCACATAGAGGAGTGCCGAATTAAATGATTAGGATTCTAGCTTTCTGGTATGCTAATCAACTCATGAGTGTGAAATGGGACAATGCTCTTTCAAAAAGTTTTTATGTGTGTAATGGTGTTAAACAAGGAGGCCTCCTTTCTCCTTTTTTATTTAATATACATGTTGATGATTTGTCCACTGAATTGAACATGTGTAAAACAGGGTGTGTCATGGGAACCACCGTAATCAACCATCTCATATGCAGACGATCTTGTTATCATAAGCCCTTACAGTGCAGGCATGCAGGGACTGCTACAAGTGTGCTCAGCCTATGGGGTGACGTTTGACATAAAATTCAATCCAACAAAGAGCAACATGATGATTGTGAGAAGCAGAGAGGATAAACATTTGACCTTCCCTGAATTTCAGCTCTGTGGTCAGCCTCTTTCCGTCTCCAAAGAGACAAAGTATCTGGGACACTTTCTCACAGATGACTGGCGTGATGACAGAGACATTAAAAGACAGTGCTGTAAACTTTATGCCCAGGCGAACACACTGATGAGGAGGTTCAGCATGTGTTCTTATCTTGTTAAATGTACTCTGTTTCGAGCGTACTGCACTCCGCTGTACACAGCTCCTCTGTGGACCAAGTACAGTCGCAGGTCCTTCCACAGACTCACAGTGGCATACAATGATGCCTTCAGGCTGCTGCTCCAGGTGGCACAGTGCCAGTGAACTGTTTGTGAGAGCCCACATTCACACCTGTGAGGCTCTGATACGGCATCTAACCTTTCGGTTCAAGGAACGTCTGGAGGACTCTGAGAACGGCATCATTCGGACTCTGACCAACGGTAGAATGAGCTCATGTCGCTACACGTCTGCTCTGAGAAAGCACTGGACAGATACACTTTATCATATTTAAATCTGCTGGAAAGGATACTATATATTTGAATGCATTGTCCTTTTATTGTTTATCTTTTTATTTTTTGTATGGACCAATTTTATCTTGTCTGAAATAAAGATTAATAATAATAACATGCCCACCTTTCGTCTGTGTCTTTGTCCCAAGGGAGTGCATCGAGGTTGACCAGGACCTCTGCCTATCACCACTGCACGCTGCTCCACTCTGCCGACCGCTCCACCCTCCGCTCTGTGCTCTGCCCCTCTACCCCCGGTATCCATAGCAACGCCACCGCTAGCGTTGTCTCCTCGGTGACCAACCTGATTGACCACGCCCCCTCACTGACATGGGAGGGGCTAACACGGGCGCTGGTTCAACAGTACAACACAGGTACTTTATACAGATGGACAAAGCTAACATAGATTGTATACAGATTTATTTACAGTCTATGATACCGATAGATGGACTATATAGATGGTCTATGATACTATACAGATGGACAATGCTAACATAGACTGTATATAGATGGACAACAATAACCCGCTAGCTCAATAAAACCCAACAGGGAAGATATGAGCTGGTCCGTCTCTGGTCCCTCTCTCTGGGGTCCCTCTCTCTGGTCCCTCTCTCTGGGCCCTCTCTCTGGGCCCTCTCTCTGGGCTCTCTCTCTGGGCTCTCTCTGCTCTCTCACTCGTGTCTTTTTCTGATGTGTCTTTCTGGTCTCTCTCTTGCCTCTCTTCTTCTCTTTCGCTGATCCATCCAGACTTGAAAGCAACATTTGTCTTGACCTTTTTCTTTTTGTTTGTTTATTTCCCTCTGTGGTGAAAGCTGACACAGGTCCAAACAACACCCTCATTCACTCATCACTGATGTTTCTCCCCCTCAGAGTTTGGCCTCTCATCTCCCCTCACTCTCCTGGATCCTTCAGACCAGTCTCTGTTCCCAGGGATAGACTGCATGGCCTCCGAGCTCCGCAGCTGGGACTGGACTTTTGGCAAAACCCCAAAGTTCTCCGTGCGCACCGAGCTGTGTCTGTCAGAGCGCACAACAGCCAAGCTTCACCTGGAGCTTAAGAACGGGCTCATCAGCAGCTGCGAGGTGTGTGTGAGCGAGGCCTGGCTCCCACACAGACTGGTGCAGGAGGTGTGCGACCTTCTGACCGGAGAACGCTTCTGTCCGCACGCCGCTGCAGCCGCACTGACGGAGCTGCAGAGGACTGAGCACAGAGAGACACAGAGCAGACTCAACGAACTGATCCACGAGCTGATCCGAGTCATGAGCTAGAGACACAGAGAGGGTTTAAAGGTCCCACATTTCACCATTAAAGGTCCAATATTATGCTTTCTGACTTTTCTCTGGTTTAAACATGATTACAGTGCTATTTGGTGATTGACAGCGGGGAGACAGCGTCTATGGTCAGCTGCAGCCTCTCTCCGAGTCCAGGGTGTGGACAGTAAATAAGCGTCTGTGCTTTTCTGTGTAAGCTTCATGTCAACTTGGAAAAATGTTTTGTTTTTTTGGTGTAAATATGTGACTACAGTATTTGGCCCAAAGATGGAGAATGGGGATCGGCTCTAATACGCTAGCCTGAAATACGCAGCGAAACTCGCAGATGTTTCTTTGCGAGTGACCGTGACACCACCAAAGACTGTTCCAGAACTACAGTTTCCTTGAAACCGGACCTACTCAAAAGCTGATCTAGAAACCTGATGTTATTCCCAACATAAAAGACGCTAACAGGAGCCTCGGTCTGTGAGTACAGTGTTACCAATTCGCCGTATCTCACTGTGAACTAAATAATTAGGGTCTGGATCGGGGACATAGGGCTCTATTTGACGGGTTGCCATTGTTGGAAAAAGTTTATTCTCACGTGTGAAAATACTATGTACCAGAGAAAGCTGTACAGTTAGCTCTAGTTTACCTAAAAAGCGTGATGCTACACAGGCAGAGGAGCAGAGATCCAACCGAGGTGACATTACCTCTATGCACAAAATGGCTGTAGTTTGACAAGTTTTGAGTGTTGTATGGTGTATCACCCAAGTTATTATCAGACTTGTGCATAGGATAGACTGTGAAGAATGAAGAAAAGCGAAATATGGCACCTTTTAATTTCTCACAGTCCATCCTCAGCACATGTGTGACAATGATTTGGGAGATATACCATACAAATTCAAATCTTGAAAATATAGCCATTTCTTCCATAGATTGTCGTCACCTCTATTGAAATGGCTGGTTCTCTGCTCCTCTGCCTGTAAGCCCGCCTCCTCCTACCCGCGCTGTGACCTAGCCTTACGCTGGAGGTAAATACACAGTGTGAAATCTTAACTCCCCAAACACAAGGCCAGCAGTGTGATGGAATCAAACACTCGACCTTCAGCTCAAAGGCCAGTACTGACCAACTGAGCCACTGTTGCCCCTTACCTTCATTTTGATCCAATGATAGTACAAGGGCCTGCAAAAGTCAAAAAACAAATTATGGACCTTTAAAGGTGACTGGTCTCCCTGGAGTTCTGGTCTTTCTCTCTGGAAATTGGTTTTATCTGTGTATGTTATTGTATATTTTTGTAAACCGGGATCACTGAATGTGATGATGGGTGAGATGTATTTCAACACATTTGTGAATCTGGATTAAAACATTATAAAACATATTTGTACTCAGCAGCTGTCGCCTCTTGTTTGAACTGTGTATGTTTTCTGGATACATTTAAATGTTATTAAAGATTAAGCGCCTGTTGTATTTTCTCACAATTTAACATTCAAAGACAATGTACTTTCAATATGTCTCTCTCTGGTCTCACATGTATGGAGTTTGGCATCTGTCTCATATCTCAATTAGCTTTTCAGTGAGGACCACCAACCACTTATCTAATCAGCTCTCAGTATGAAAACTATAGCGGTTTAATTGGAATAACACAATGTATCAATGAACCTTTATTTTTATTTAGTTTATTTTAATAATGTTTTATTGGTGTGTGAATTAGTTCTATACATGTTAGTTGTTGTAATAACACAAGTAGTTTTGTGGATTTTACTCGCGGAATCTTAGCGGACCACCACTTCGCCGTAAATTAAAGTCCCTTCTCGGAAAATCACCATTATATCCTCTATGAATTTCTAGAACTTTCAACAACTTTTTGTCTGATTTTAATCATTTATTCAGTCAAAATATGAGCAAAAACATCGGTATCAGCCTGGGTTTCCATGGTTACGGGAGGCAGCAGCGGAGTGGCATCTCTGTGCGCTCTCCACGATCTTTGTCCACCACCACCTCCGTAGCGTGCAGTGAACAGGGGACAACAGCGGCGTTAGCATGGGCAAAAAACAGAAGAAATCCGGGGAGGACAGGTACTGAATCACGGTTAACCCACTGCCACCCACCACTGCCATTGTATACGAGAACTGGCGCAACTTTCCCAGGGTGATATAGCCTCAAACCCGGCGTGTTTGAGTCAGAATTTCCCCTTTAAGTGTTAGCTTAGCCGCTAATTTAGGAGATGCTAGCTCTCCAGGACCACGAGTCATGGGCATAGAGCAGGTGTAGCGTGCGTTCTAAGAATCTTTGGGTGATTTGCACAACACGGAGATGTGCTAAACCAGGGCGAGCCGGACAGAACTTCCCATAAACATCCCGGCGTTAAAGCTTCACCCACTGGCTTGACAAAGTTAGCTTTCAACGCACGCAGCCGGTGTGGAGCTAGCCTGGATGTCCGTGTTTGTTAGCATCGCTTCAAACACTGGTTCCATCTGTTATTTCACGCCAGACTGTCAAACCCAGGGAGCTTTGAAACGTCCCAGTCAGATGCGAAGAGCAGTCGTGGATGTATTTTTAGGTGGATACGATGTCGGCTTTATTGTGTATTTGCTGTCTGTTCACCTGATTTCGGACAGCTGTCTCAAACTCTCTATCACATAATCCTTCATATAACTATTCATACATACTCAATTCAAGCAGTCGTCCCTCTGACATATTACTACCACAGGTTTCATTGCTAAACAACTGCGCGAATGAATGAAACAGGTTATAATGTCACATGTGTTTGATAAGGTACGAACTAAAGCCCACGAACCTGCATATGCATTGTTTTAGGCGTATGTGAATGGGTTGTGTGTTGTCAGCAGATATCGACTAAAGCTACTGTCGGTTTTGTTCGAGTCAAAAACCCCGATTGCAAAAAATGTCACTCAAGTCAAGTTAGATCAGGATGTGTGACTGGTGATGTGTTGTCAGAAATAATTATGATACCACTACTATAATAATAATAATGCATTTATTACTATACATGTGTGTGTTTTCTGGGGAGGAGTTTAAGCAGTAAAATAACTATTAACTTCAAACAAGCTGCTATCTATCTGAAACGCTAGAGCTGTAGTATCTCCTTTAGCGTTAGATTAAAGATGGGGTACGTTACTTTCTTTTATCATGGGCACAATCCCAGTACCCACACTGCACCCTACACTCCTCTACGAAGTGTGCATTTGTTTGAAGTGCACGCAAGGGTTCAGTGCGCAGGTTACAAGCGTGCAAAATTGGGACAGTGCACAGTGAGCGCAGGATACGTCATCGACTAGTCATTTTCAGACCTAAACTTTATAGAAAATTAAAGGTAATTTTGTCTGACCCTGTGGGAAACAAAATGAGTTGCTCCACACACGTTAAATACATGTATATTGGTTATTCGTAATTTGAGATATCTGTATAGTTTTAAGTTAAATTTGGGTAACTGTTATCTGATAAGTTTTTATACATCCTAAGTTTATTGTACTAAGTGTAAAGTTTAAATTGAATGTTATATGAATGCTTGGATTAAAAAAGGTATTAAATTGTAAGCATAGAATGTCCAATGTGACATGTAAATTTCTCCTGTGTGAGATTAATAAAGTCTTATCTTCTCTCTTATCTTAATTCTTCAATTAGTCATTTACGCTTCTATCCAAGTAACATAGCAACATTTATTTACACACATACTGCATATATATTTCAAAACTTACACTTAAATGCATTGTCCCGACGTTTTGGTGTGTACCGCAAAGAATTATGGGCAATATCTTTCGCCAGAGTCCGCATAGATGCAGGCTACGGAGAAGTGTGGATCAGGGGCGCAAAGGGGGCGGGGCCAAAGACCTCCCTGGAGAATTGGGACACCCTACGCACTCTCACCCATCATCGGGAACGCGCAAATGAGGGGCGTGAGGGTGGAAGTGCGAGTATTGGGACTGGGCCATAGATAACAGTTACTCTTTGACTCTTTGGGCTGAGAGCTGATTGGCTTAGAGAGGGTGCTCCTCTCTTTCACTTCTCTGTCTTAAATAGCTTATCTACAGATGTGACAAGACAGAAATACAACTAGTGTTAGAAGCAACTGTTATAGCAGCAGTAGTAATAGCAGACGTCTATTGTTGGCTTGAATTTTTCAAACCCCAGCTTTAATATCTAGCAGTGGTAAGCATCTGTTATCACAGTTTAAAGTGGGAGTGGCTCACTGGTCAGAGAGTAAGAGCCACAAACTTAAGTTGTCGTCCTGTGAAGTGCCACACTCGATCAGCACGCCAGCTCCAGGAGTGACTACATAATTAACATATTTTGGATAATTGGATAAAGTTGATAATAAGAATAATAATGTATTTTTGCGCAGTGTGTGACACGTTTATTTGTACTTTACAAATAAACATGTCTTTCCTTATGTAATACATGTTCCCCGTGTAGAACTAAATGTTTTTGAGGTTAGGATTTTTTGGTTTGCTTTGAAAGAAAGAATGATTGTGAATAACAGTGTTTCTATTTGTAAAAAACCACCATATAAATACAATGTACATAAAGAAGGATATTGAACATTATCCATAACTGAGATTGCAGTAAATACTTGGATAAAGTAGAAAAAGTTATTGTATTTCTCTCTTCTAAAGCTGCAAACCATTTCTTCATAGAGTTGAGCTTCCGTAACGTCACTGTAATTCAACTTTGGAAACAACAGTAATCCCAGAGAGATCCGCATTTACTGCAGCAACACGTTTGTGCAAATATTAACATTATTACTGTGCGTGTTCCCGACCAAAAGCAATGAATCACATGTCTGTTCAAGAGGAGGCTGTGTGTCATAAACTCTGAGTAAATAATTTTTACTCAAAAGGATCAGCAGAACGTGCAAAAAACATACAACACATCCATGTATACTCATGAAATGAAATGAAAGGCTCTGAGGGAAAAGAGATGCATTTTGACACATATTCTCAGTAAAGTAATATTCTTTAGAGCCGCATTCTGATTGGCCGAGAGCCTGGTATCGGTCCCTGGTTTAAAGGATGATGTTTATGTGCAGTGCCAAAGACGACGTGGACCTGGACGCTCTGGCAGCGGAGATCGAAGGAGCCGGAGCTGTCAAAGAATCCAAAGGAAAAAAGAAGAAAAAAGGAGCAAAAAAAGATGATTTTGAGTGAGCGAAATGAAGTTTATTTGATTGTAATGAACTTGTATTGGGACTGTGTTGATGCTGGTTCCTTTTGCAGTGAAGACGACATTCTGAAGGAGTTAGAGGAGCTTTCCATCGAGCAGGGAGGGAAGCCAAAGGTAAAACAAACTTATTCAAAGAAAGTTATTTTGCTTTAAATGTTGTCATTTTGAATAGATTTGATTTGAATGTTTTTCAGAAATCCGAGGAGACTGTTGATGACGTGATCGAAGCTCCGAAAGAGAAGAAGAAAACTCGCAAAGGAAAAAAGGACGAAGAGGACGAGGACCTAGAGCAAGAGAAGAATGGAGAGGACAAGAGGAAGGTATAAGTACAAGTACAAGTGTTACTGCTACTACTATTGATACTACTACTTAGGGCTGGGCGATAAAACGATAATGATATATATTGCAATAGACACGTGTTCGATATCAATAGAAAACAGGGTCAATAGAATGTTTGATGTTTTAACTCCGCTCCGTTAGAAAAAACAGGAAGAAAACACAGAAAAGCACGGCATTCTGGGGATGTAGGCAGATACTTCTCGACCTATCACAGCTGATCATGGACAGCAAAACATTCTGGGAAATGCAAAAACAAAACCCGCACCATGGATCTATGGATCGTGTTTCAATGCCGTGTCAATGGTTATGCACGTTCATGCGAGGAATAGCATGTGCGGCGCGGTAGAGGCAGTGGGCCATAGACTGTAAATATTGACGGACGTAGTCACGCCTATCTCCGCCATTCTAACTAATGTGCCACAACTCCCGCGGTCTATGGGCATTTTCAAAATGTCCGCGGGGGCTGGAAAATGTGAAAAAATGCATCTACGCATCCGTCAGCCTGCACGAGCCCCATTCATTTAACAAGTGCCTTCAAAAAATCACAGCGACTAAACTAGACTGGTCCAAGAGCCGACTTTTGGACCATCCTGTAAAGACGTTTTTGAGAGGTCAGCTAATGTTATATGTTAGCACTGAATAATTCTCATCCCGGGTCCACCCCCATCGGCCCCGGGTGGTATTGCAAGCATGTCAGCGCACGTCATTTTGGCCACTTTTGAGCTGGGACCCGCCCCCACTGCAGTGGACACAGAGACCCGGCACATTCGGCGAAAGCAAGAGATGAACTTTTTCCTCTGGAAGCACAGCCGCACGGAGCCGTCACGGGGACACAAGACACTCAAACAGCCAAAACAGGAGCTTAACCAGGACTAAACCAGGATTAAACCAGGACTAACAATGGGGGACACTGTGCTTGTGAACATATTCCTCTAGCCTCATTCCCCCGTCACTGTAAACTAGGCTGTTATCGTGTGTTAGCCGTCACGACAAATGTATTTATTTAGGTTTAAAAAAAGAATATCCTATATATCGTTTTCGACCGATATGAATTACTTGTATAGTGATATAGTTTTCAGCCATATCGCCCAGCCTACTACTGCTACTACTACTGCTGTTAATCTGTTCTCCTGTTTTTAGACATCCGTTGCCTCAGACTCCGATGAGGACTCTTTGTCTCAGACTAAACTCAAACCTGCAAAAAATCAAGACAAAGACGAGACTGAGACCAAAGCTGCGGCTGTGAACGAGGACGACGACGATGACGAAGAGGAAGAGTTTATGTCAAAGTATGAGATCACATTACATCACACGTAACATACAGTGGTGTATTCACATAGTTGATTTGGAAACGCTGTAGATAGATAAATACTTTATTGATCCGCAGCAGCAAAAATAAAAAATAGCTTTTTAGATTGATCAATTCTATCAATCGTAATAATCAGCACCCGCCCTTCAGGTCACAGCAGCAGAGGTGGAGTAGCCTCTGGGTGGAGCAGGACGGGTCACAAGATGGAGTTGCCACTTATTTGGACCATTTTCTCTGCTCTAGTCCAAACTAAAAGGCTAAATGCTTCATTAGCATTTTTTTTTTTTAAGTTAACATTCTTCCAGTGGACTTTCACCTGATCCGCTTGGTTTGGACCATGAATCCTCTCTGCTCTGGTCTGGACCAGTGTTAAACCATGAACACTGTACTGCAGCAACATCTCAGGTAGAAAAAAGCAAGATAAAATAAAAATTGTAAAGCACTAAACAGCAACTGTTTCAGAGCTACTTTGGACTTGCAGCCGTTTTCCAGCTCATTCAAAAGAGTTTACAGCTAATCTAAGGAGCTGTAGATTAGCCCTCACTAATTAACAGCTGATTAATTGCTAATTACCTTAGCCATGACCCACATGTGAAAGTGTCCAATAGTAGTTAGTTAGATGTTGAATAAGGCCATGTAGCATAAGGACTAATAAGTGATTGTTTGATTCTCTGATCTGATCTGTGTTGGCGAATTCAACGGTTTTGTGAAGTCCTGTTAAGTACTGTTGTGATTTAGGGCTGCGCAAGAATACATTTAATTGAATTGAATAATAAATACCAATCGAGCTGATTGACCATAGACTATATACTCATTAGCACTTAAATAGCTGTGTGACGTGTCATTTAAATAGAATATTGTTGGTCCCAGTGTTCACCCTTGTGGAACCCTGCCTGTGATATTGTAAGCAAAAATGTACTTATCTCTGTGTTCCAGTAGTTTTCTCTTGTCAATCCCAAACTCACACTTAAGCCTTTTGTCTTTATAGCAATTCTTCAAACTTTAAATTTTTATATTCTGCTTACACGCAGACTAAAAACCCTAGTGGAGCTGCACTTTTCTTTATAAAGTAGTAAAAATATGTTAGTGTCCTCATTGCTTCACATGGATGAGAAACTTATTGTAGTTCATTATAATGTGTATAATGGGATTCTCTGGGTGTACATCTACTGCTACTACTTCTACTACTACTGCTCCTACTTATACTGCTTCTACGGCTACTACTAACTACATATACATACTTTTTATATGTATGTATACGTATTTTATGCTGTTTTCTTTTGTTTTTTTCATCTTTTGTGCCTGTGAAGCACTGGTGTTGTTGTAAATGTAAACTACTACTACCACTGTTGTCACTACAACTACTGCTGCTACTTTTACTATTACTTCAACTAGGACTACTACTATTGTTACTATAATTCTTTTAAAACGTTCCTCTTGAACAGAAAAGACCGTAAGAAGAAAACCAAAGCCAAAGCAGTGAAAGTGGAGAGTGAGGATGAGGAAGAGGAGGAAGGGTTTAAGATGAAGACTGCAGCTCAGAAAAAAGCAGAGAAGAAGGAGCGTGACAAGAAGAAGAAGGAAGAGGAGAGACTGAAGAAGCTCAAACAGAAGGAGAGGGAGGCTGCCGCACCTGCTGCCGCACCTGCTGCCTCACCTGCTGCCACAACTGCTGCCACACCTGCTGCCACAACTGCCCCGTCCGCCCCTGCCATGCCTGCCCTTGTGGCTCCTGCCGATGATCCAGCCAATCAGGGACCAGAGGAGGCCGAAGGGGAGGAGCCAGCGGGCGAAGGTAATTATGATCATGTCACAGAACAATTATAAAGCAGAGACTGGAGCAGAGACTGGAGCAGAGACTGGAGCAGAGACTGGAGCAGAGACTGGAGCAGAGACTGGAGCAGAGACTGGAGCAGAGACTGGAGCAGAGACTGGAGCAGATTTTTATTAAAATGTATGACTGTAGTCCTTACCCCGCTCTCCTTTTTATTTTGTCGAAGATGACGAAGGCGGAGACAAGAAGAAAAAGGACAAGAAAAAGAAGAAAGGGGAGAAGGAGGAGAAGGAGAAGAAGAAGGGACCGAGTAAAGCGACCGTGAAGGCCATGCAGGAGGCGCTAGCCAAAATGAAGGAGGTGTGTGTCTCTCTGTGTGTGTGTGTATTCTTTTTGTGAAACTAGTTAACTAGTGCAGTCAAACAATGAAAATATTTAATCCTGAAAATCATATATATATATTAATCCAATCTCTTAAAAATGTATTTTACATGGTAGAAAGGACTTGAATTGAGTGTTACAAAAATAAACAAAAGAGTCGCCTTTTTGACTCAATTCAATATATTCTTGCCATTCATCCATTTTCTACCCCATAATCCATTTCTGGGTCGGGGGGGTGGCCAAAGATGCCACCCAGTACACATAGCACCAGCCCCTCACTGATCCTCCTGCAGGTGGTGAGTCCACAGGAGCTGAGATCTTTCAGCGGGGGCCTCAGGCAAAATGGTGTTAATTTTCTTACCCAAGGACACAACGACAGCATTCATCAGTGGGAGTCGGTGGAGAAGGTCTCATGGTGGGCTCGAACCCACAACCTTCAGGCTCAAAGGCCAATGCTCTACCAACTGAGCCACTGTCGCCCCAATATCTTCTGGTATAGTCCTAAATCTCAACAGCAGTCAGAGGATTTAACAAAACCATTGAAATCGCCAACACAGATTATAGAATTAACAGTTAAGACACAAAAAAATATCAAACACATGTTGATAAATATTCATACATGTTGTAGAATGTTTGAGTGTCCTGGATCATCACCACAATCCTTCTTGTTAGACACTAACTGTCCAACAGACTTCCGGCAAGGAAAAACTCATAAGAAAAACCCAGTGGGAAAAAAGTGAGACACCTCAGGAAGGTCTACATTGAGAGAGGGCTGTAGATCCAGGACCTAAGCTTCAGAACGAGGACCAAGGCCACAGCGATTGTGGAACGTGGACGGGGGGGGGCAGTGGAACATAGCACCTCAGGGTTTTGGCTGATGTCAGATACTTGCCTGTGGTAGAAGCCTGGAGCACAACCTGAGGTGGACCGAGCCAAGTGGTCAGGCGCTCATCAGTCCGGGATATGATCCACGTGTTGGTGTGTGTGAGCGCACAGGAAATTGGGGGTGAATGTTGATGTCTTGCTGTTTTCAGGAGGAAGAACGAGCACGACGCGAGGAAGAGGAGCGGCTGAAGCGGATGGAGGAGCAGGAGGCGCTGAGGCTGGAGCAGGTGAAACAACCGAGAAACACAGCTGTTCATGTGACTGTACTGAGATATAACCTGTGTGTGTGTGTGTGTCTCTTCCTCTCTCCTCCTCTCTGTGTTTGTGTTCTCAGGAGCGTCTGGAGCTGGAGCGCAAGGAGAAGAAGAAGCAGAAGGAGAAGGAGAGGAAAGAACGTCTGAAGAAGGAGGGGAAACTGCTGACAAAAGCTCAGAAAGAGGCTCGAGCCCGAGCGGAAGCTACTCTGAAGATGCTGCAGGCCCAGGGTGAGGGAGAGATCCAGAAATGAGGCTGTAGACCCAGGACTGAGATGGTAGATCCAGGACTGGGGTTATAGACCTAGGACTCTGGATCTATAGCCTAAGGACTTAGGCAGGCTGTAGACCCAGGACTGAGGCTGTATTTTTGCTTCAGGAGTGGAAGTTCCATCCAAAGACTCGGTGCAAAAAAAGAAGCCGGTTTATCGAGACATGAGAAAGAAGAAGCCCAACGCTCCCACACCTGAAGGTCTCACATCAAACTCACATTATTTCAAAAAGTAGAACAATTCTACATAAACCTTTGTTTCTTAAAGGTACAGAGACCTCAGAAGTGACGCCTCCAGCTTCAGGAACTCCAGAACCAGCACCAGCACCAGCGTCGATGGAGACCGAGGCCCCACAGACTCAGCCCCCAGCTCCAGGTATGATACGGGTGTAGAAGGGATTTTAGCCTGATGCATTTAGATGGGGATAATGTTATTGGAATTATGTAAAAAAAAATCTAAATAAAAAATCTGATAAATATTTTTTTTTAAATGAGGAAAATAACATTTAAAAAATTATTTTTCTGACACAAAAAAATCTCAAGAAACATAAGAAAATAATTAATTATTTGTGAATAATTATAACAATTATAAATAATACACTAAAAGGACAAAAATTAAATAAGAAATACTAAAATAAAATTTTAATATATGAGTTAAGTTCTTTTATCTTGTATTGAAACAAATTTTGTTGTTAATTTTGTTCAGTCACAATTGTTTCTGTACTTTTTAGCTTGTTTTATTTATGTACTTGTCTGGTGCACGTCTTTCTAATGTGGTTTTACTGCAAACAATCTTAATCTTACATTTAAAATCAAATTTTTAAGTTAACGTTACAAAATAAAAATTAGGATCCTGTCATTTTGACAGGATCTTTGCAGTCAGAAGAGCTTGAATCATCAAAACATGACGCTGTTAAAAACACCAGTGTTTAAAGTCTAAACATAAAACTGTCTTTGTCTCAGAGGTAAAAGCAGACGCTGTGGACGACTGGGAGGCCATCGCCAGCGACGAGGAGAAAGGTCTGGGACATGTAGATCCAGGACTCACGCTGTAGACCCCGTTACTGAGGCTGTAGATCCCGTTACTGAGGCTGTAGATCCCGTTACTGAGGCTGTAGACCCCATTACTGAGGCTGTAGACCCCGTTACTGAGGCTGTAGACCCCGTTACTGAGGCTGTAGACCCCGTTACTGAGGCTGTAGATCCTGTTACTGAGGCTGTAGAACCCGTTACTGAGGCTGTAGATCCCGTTACTGAGGCTGTAGATCCCGTTACTGAGGCTGTAGACCCCATTACTGAGGCTGTAGATCCCGTTACTGAGGCTGTAGACCCCGTTACTGAGGCTGTAGACCCCGTTACTGAGGCTGTAGACCCCGTTACTGAGGCTGTAGACCCCATTACTGAGGCTGTAGACCCCGTTACTGAGGCTGTAGACCCCGTTACTGAGGCTGTAGATCCCGTTACTGAGGCTGTAGACCCCGTTACTGAGGCTGTAGATCCCGTTACTGAGGCTGTAGACCCCGTTACTGAGGCTGTAGATCCCGTTACTGAGGCTGTAGACCTTACTGAGGCTGTAGATCCCGTTACTGAGGCTGTAGATCCCGTTACTGAGGCTGTAGACCCCGTTACTGAGGCTGTAGATCCCGTTACTGAGGCTGTAGAACTTGTTACTGAGGCTGTAGACCCCGTTACTGAGGCTGTAGACCCCGTTACTGAGGCTGTAGACCCCATTACCGAGGCTGTAGACCCCGTTACTGAGGCTGTAGACCCCGTTACTGAGGCTGTAGACCTCGTTACTGAGGCTGTAGACCCCGTTACTGAGGCTGTAGACCCCGTTACTGAGGCTGTAGACCCCATTACTGAGGCTGTAGACCCCGTTAATGAGGCTGTAGACCCCGTTACTGAGGCTGTAGACCCAGGACTGAGGCTGCTTGTTTTTCTCAGAGCTGAAGAAGGTTCACATCGAGGTGAAGGAGGAGCGACGAGCTGCTCCTCAGCCGACGGGCAGCGAGGAGGAAGAGGAGGAGGAAGAGGAAGAAGAGGAGGAGGAGGAGGATGAAGAAGAGGAGGAGAGCGAGGAGGACGACGTGTCCACAAAAACAGAGGTCTCCCGGGCGACCACATCAAAGAGGAAAGGCAAAGAGAGCGAAGAAGAGAGTAGCGACAGCGAGGATGACGACAGGACGAAGGAGGAGCGTCTCTACGACCGAGCGAAGAGGAGGATCGAGGTCAGGGTCTGGGGTCAGGGCTCAGGGTCTGGGCTCCAGATCAAGGGCAATGGGGCAGAAAATGTTTATCGTAAAGTTAAAATTTACTTAAATCTTGGGAATATTCCAGAGCTGGGAATTAATAGTAAATTAATTTAAATGGATCGGATCAAACCTCCCACAATATCATCAAAGCTTCCCTTCAGTTACATTTATTTGTATATGGCTTTTGTACATGTGGTGGAAGTGCAAGGCCATTAGGGGGCGCTGTGCTTGTGATATTCCACTGTATCTGAATGACATCCGTTTTGTTTTAGGCAAGATTCTCAACTATATTTATGTTTCCAATGAAGATTCAAGCTTCACATTTGAAAATTCCCAGTTGATTCCCATTCATTCCCATGACAAGTTTCTTGGAATTTAAGGTCAGGAGTATGTTAGACAGGAGTAAGTCTAATGTCTATAGTAATGTATATTTATTTGGCACCAAGTCATAGAAGGACAGAGGTGAGGCACTCAACAACAACAAGAAATACAGGAATAATGTATAAAGATATAAAAAAAAAAAAAAATGAATGAAATAGATTAGACCTATTTTATTGATTTATTTTGTTTTGTAATTTTTGTAATTTAGATTTTCTCCTTATATTTTGATGGTATGTCATAGAGATCCACATGGATAATAATAATAATGATAATAAGGATGATGATGATGATTATAATGTTCATGTGTTTTGTCTTATACAGAAGCGGCGCATAGAGAACCTGAAGAACGTGGATGTGGAGCGGCTCAGGGCTCCGGTGGTCTGTGTTCTGGGACACGTGGACACAGGGAAGACCAAGATCCTGGACAAGGTCTGCACCAGACTCTAGACCAGACTCTAGACCAGACTCTAGACCAGACTCTAGACCAGACTCTAGACCAGACTCTAGACCAGACTCTAGACCAGACTCTAGACCAGACTCTAGACCAGACTCTAGACCAGACTCTGTGAGCGAAAATGTAGGTACCCAAGCTTTAATTCAGTGAGTTTTGGTTGTGCTTTGAGAGGAGACATGGAGACGTGGGGTAGAGACGGGCAAGACCTGCATGTGCAACAAGCTGGTCCTGTCCGCGCGTTTATGGTCCGCCACGTTACAACTGCACGTTCACTGAGCTTTTGTCAGAGCGGCTGTCGACACAAAGCGGCTCCCGGGGTCAGAGCGGAGGATGTTGAATCCCGTTAGAGTATGTTCAGCAAACAACAACCACACATTCACAGAAATGACATTTTCAGCGGGGAAAAAGTCGGAATTCGTGGATCCGCAATAAAATTCTCATCCCTGGTTTATCCTGATGCATTTCATTGGTCAAGAGAATTGATCAATGAAGAGAATAGGTCAAATAAAGATTAACAGACGTGTCTGCTTTCCCGGCCTCAAAGGTAGAAGTGCGCCACAGCGCTCCCGGCAGGAATGGGTTAACGTGGATGTAGCAGTAAAGGAGCTCGGAGCTAAATGCTTTTTGAAACCTTTAGGAACCACCAGACGCCTGACGTTTTGCAAGCACAGTGTTCGGTTTGGTTGGTATGACACTAACGTGTCTTGGATGGATGTGTTTCTCCGACAGGATCAATAAAGAATGTATTCATCATTCTCATATTGTCTTTTTGTGCGTTTGTCTTTGTGTGTGCGCGTTCCTCAGTTGCGACACACACACGTTCAGGACGGAGAAGCCGGTGGGATCACGCAGCAGATCGGAGCCACTAACGTTCCCAAGGAGACAATCGAGGACCAGACGCGGATGGTGAAAAACGTGAGGCTCAGTTTGTTTTGAGCAGAAACATAGAAAATGTTCAATCTAAAACTTTATCTTCAACTTTCAGTTTGATCACGAGAACTTAAAGATCCCAGGAATGTTGATCATCGACACACCAGGACACGAGTCCTTCAGGTGAGAGGGGGAGGAGGGCGAGAGGGAGGAGAGAGGAGGGGATGGAAGAAAGGAGTGAGATGAGAGGGGTGGAAGAGGGGGAAGAGGACAGAGGGGAGAGAGGAGGAGGTGGAGACGACAAGTTGTATTAGGAGTAATCGCCCACAAGACTGTCTTTTATATTTAGTGTATGATCCATGTGAGTCACTGTTTGACTCTTTGGGCTGAGAGCTGAGAGAGGGTGGTTCTCTCTTTGGATCAGTTTTTTTCAGACAGAAAAGTGACAAAGATGAGACAGAAACACATAAAACTCATGACAGAAGCAACTGTTCTTTAGTCAGAGACATGAGTTTATACTTTAATCTTTATTGAACAAAGACAGATCTAGAGTTTCATCTGCAGTTATTAGAGTTCTATTGTTCTCTTGAACATCCCCAGGTTTAAAACACGTGTTGTTCTCACCTGGTCTCTTGTGTTTCACACCTGGTCTCTTGTGTTTCACACCTGGTCTCTGTGTTTCACACCTGGTCTCTTGTGTTTCACACCTGGTCTCTTGTGTTTCACACCTGGTCTCTGTGCAGTAACCTGAGGAACAGAGGCTCCTCTCTGTGTGACATCGCGATCCTGGTGGTGGACATCATGCACGGCCTGGAGCCACAGACTCTGGAGTCCATCAACCTCCTCAAGGAGAAGAAGTGCCCCTTCATAGTGGCCCTCAACAAGGTAAAAGCAGACACCAGGTGAGAGCAGACACCAGTTGATACCAACAGCCCATTGCGCATTTGTGGCTCAGGGGAGTTACATGCCCATAACCAGCGTCAGAGTTTGGGCTGTTGCACGCAGTATAAATATGGTCTGTGGTCTCTCTCTGGTCTCTCTCTGATCTCTTTGTCTGGTCTCTCTCTCTGGTCCCTCCCTGGTCTAGCTTCTAGGGAAAGAGAAACTTGCCCTAGTCCATATGATAATTCCCTTTGGTGCTCTGTTTCTCCTGGTTTCAGGTAGACCGTCTGTACGACTGGAAGAAGAGTCCTGAGACCGATGTCGTGGCAACGCTAAAGAAACAGAAGAAAAACACAAAAGACGAGTTCGACGAGAGAGTGAAGGCTGTGATTGTGGAGTTCGCTCAGCAGGTACGAGACTTGGAAGACAAGACTCTTGGGAAATGAGACTTGAAAAAGGAAGAAGCCGATTCTAAGGAAAGCTAGCTGGAGCCAATTTTCTTATATGGACATTCGTTCCAATTTTGTTAGCATCGCTCCGTACCAAGAGCAGGCGGTTGCTAAAATTGTTTCTAAGGTAAGCTAGAGTTTCCCTCGCAAATTAAGCATCTAATTGTTCAATCCTTTTTTGATTCATATTTGGATTTAAAAAGAAAATTTAAAAACCAGGATCACAGAAAGCCCAGAAGGGTGTGAGTGACACAAACGGTTACTGAGCTAAAGGAGTTTAGTTTTACATTTAAGTCAACAGGAGCAGAAGTTTGTCCATTAGCGCTCCCCTGTTCTTGGGTTGCATAAACCTGGCCTGTAGGGGGCGAATGAGCAGAAATGGGACAACTCAGTTTTGCTCTAATTGAAAACCATGTAAATCGTGTCTGTTTTGGAGTCAAAAGGCTCTCCTCCTGTGCGGTGTACGGTTGTTGTAACAGTCTTAATCAGGGACACTCAATTCTAAGGGAGTGCTAAAAAATATTTCTCAAGAGTCTTCATTTCGGGCATTTTGGGAAAAAATACCAGAAGAAATGCTGTGTTTCATTCGGGTGGCCTGCAGGGGGCGCTTATCTGGGAAAGCCTTGATCCACCTCGCCCGCCTCATTTGAGTGATTTTTTCAAAGTGTCCTCCTTTATGAGACCACAGTTGGAACACAGAAGAAACTCTTGTCTTTCTCTCTATTGGCGTGGTTGCTACAAGCGTACACCACACAAAGAGATGGCATTTTTTGTTTTTGACAGCGCTTCTTCTACTATATCTCCTGCTAGACTGCACCGCCAGGGTACGTCACGTCCGCTCCGGTCCTGTCCCACGTATGTCATTCGCGCCACTGCCCCCCCGACGTCATATGACACACAAGAATAGGGCTTCATTGAAAATGCAGGTTAGCATTGTCCATCTGTATCAAGCCCCGGCGATCCAAATGAATGGTTTGTGCTCAGTGGCACATGTGTCCGGGATGGGCGCCAAAAGATTAGCGGAACTTGTCTATAATTGGGCATTGTCTGATCCTCCCGGTTCTGCGCAGTGAACGAGCTCCCATGATGCGTTGCGCAAACAACGCATGTGTGGCTCTCATGCACGTGCACAGAGGAGCTCAGCCGTGCTCTGACCAATCAGAGCTTCTGATCAGAGCAGTGGAAGAGCGGAGCCAGAGCGGGAAGGAAACGAGCAGGAAAGAGTTAGTGGCAGTGAAGTGTGGATTTAACTATAATAGATTTATTATAATAGATCCATGACCACTGCACAGTCTGTTAGCATGGTCCATCTATACACAGGCCAATCCAGCGATAGACTTTGGAAAACCCGTGCTCTCTGTGTTCAATATAATTTCTTTCTTTCTGTTTGTTTGTTGTTCCTCAGGGGTTGAATGCGGCGCTCTTCTTCGAGAACAAAGACCCCAGGACCTTCGTGTCTCTGGTTCCCACGTCGGCGCACAGCGGGGACGGGATGGGGAACCTCATCGCTCTGCTGGTGGAGCTCACGCAGACCATGTTAGCGAAGCGGCTAGCGCACTGCGACGAGCTGCGCGCACAAGTCATGGAGGTGCAAGGCGCTTTATCATGTTTATGAGATAAGATTTAACCTTTACTCGCCCCTCAGTGGAAATGTGAGAGTGGCACATGGCAGAAAAACAGAAGGAGAGATATGAACACTCAGGTTATATACACATCAAACAGGATCTATTTTAAAATAATGGATAAGTCAATAATAAGATAATATACTCTAGAGATATAATTGCCATAGAGACCAGAGAGAGAGAGACCAGAGAGAGAGAGAGACCAGAGAGAGAGAGAGAGACCAGAGAGAGAGAGAGACCAGAGAGAGAGAGACCAGAGACCAATTGCGTATGACCAATTCAGGGTGTAAATGAGGCATACGGAAAAAATGTACACTTTTTGGCATTTATCAATCTGGACGTGAGCGTGCGATACGCACAGAATATACACAGAGCCAGTAGGTGGTGTAAATGTATACGCTCATCTCAACCTTCATCACAACACGCCAAAAGGCGCATGAAATTCAAGATTTGGACAACAATAAACATTCCCACTCTGAAAAAAAATTATAAGCTGAGTGTCCATAGAGCATCAAAATTCAAAATTTGAAAATATCTAATGGAAACAAGCAAACAGTTTATGATGAAGACTCTCTTCTGTTTCTTTGTTTTTAAATCTGACTTATGTGTATTATTTTCATCTGTATGCTTTTAAAATGTGAAGCGCTTTGTGATCCTGGTCTGTGAAAGGCGCTATACAAATACACTTAACTTACTTACTTACTTTCTTACTTTCTTAATATGTGACCCTGACCCATCTATTTCTCTGTAACTCTGTGGCAGGCCCTGCACTGTGTGGACTGTGGTCTTGCTCACTCCAAATGTCTCACTGCCCTGTACTCCACACGTTGCCAGATTTTTAGATAGGATGTGGGAACTGGCTCATACATGGGCAGTGGCTCTCTTGAGCAGTGCGCAGCGGGTACCACAGAGGTTCATAACTTCTCAAATGTGGTGCGCATCATTCAGAAGTTTTGGATCCAGAGTTTTTCTGTCAATTCATGTAGCACTACTTCCAAAAGCTTCTCATACCCATTCTCTCTCGAATGTGCAGAGATTGCCGCTCCATTGCATTCACAAAAAGATTAATGTTAATGATGAGAGCTACCGCTTAGGCCGAGATACTAATATTCATCATTTATTTGTTTATTTATTTTGTGAGACGGGCGGTTTTGCTTCATTTTTATAGGCGTGACTTTTATAAATACTTTTTTCAGTTGCCGCATTCATCAACAGCTGCAGGTGCTTACGCTCGGATCTGGGCAGATCTCACACACTCATTAATCCCACGTTGGATCTTGCGTAAATGCAATATACACTCAAAATATACAGTCAAAACAAGCATTTGTTCCTGCTCCTCTCAGGTGAAGGCTCTGCCTGGAATGGGAACCACGATCGACGTGATCCTGATCAACGGGTGTCTGAGAGAAGGAGAGACCATCATTGTACCAGGAGTGGAAGGACCAATTGTGACGCAGATCCGAGGTCTGCTGCTGCCGCCACCGCTGAAGGAGCTACGTGTGAAGGTACAGACCTGCTTTAGACCTGCTTTAGACCTGCTTTAGACCTGCTTTAGTCCTGCTTTAGACCTGCTTTAGACCTGCTTTAGTCCTGCTTTAGACCTGCTTTAGACCTGCTTTAGACCTGCTTTAGACCTGCTTTAGTCCTGCTTTAGTCCTGCTTTAGACCTGCTTTAGTCCTGCTTTAGACCTGCTTTAGACCTGCTTTAAACCTGCTTTAGACCTGCTTTAGTCCTGCTTTAGACCTGCTTTAGACCTGCTTTAGACCTGCTTTAGTCCTGCTTTAGACTTTCTATAGACATTTCTTTAGTCCTGCCTTGTTGTATTTGCAGAACCAGTACGAGAAGCACAAAGAGGTGAACACGGCTCAGGGGGTGAAGATCTTGGGGAAAGACCTGGAGAAGACTCTGGCAGGCCTTCCTCTGTTGGTGGCCCACAAGGACGACGAGATCCCAGTGCTGCGGGTAAAAACAACACAACTGGGAGAAAGGAGATAAAAGACTGGCTTCTTTTTGACTGGTTTCTGTACAAACAATGTGAATAGAATCGACCCCAAGATCGACCCTTGTGGAGTCTTTCCATTGCTGTTTTTCGCTATCATAGATTGAGTGTGATAGAAGAGCTGTATTAAATGGTTCCTTTATATCTGAGTCACAAACTAGGAATTTGCTTTTGCCCATGGTGCAAAAAAGTAAAAATTGAAATGAAGCATATATAATGAATCTTCATAGAGTTTCTTTAATTGACTATTATATATACAATTGCACTATGAATAGAATTGGCCTCAAGATCGACCCCTGTGGAATCCCTCTTTGGTTTTATCTGTCTTAATCGTTTTTAACTGCATTTGTTGCTGTTTTGTGTCAGGACGAGTTGATAAAGGAGCTAAAGCAGACGCTGAACTCCATAAAGCTGGAGGAGAAGGGGGTGTATGTACAGGCCTCCACGCTGGGATCTCTAGAGGCTCTGCTTGAGTTCCTGCGCACTTCCAAAGTCCCAGTGAGTACATCACGTCCCCCCGATCCTTCTGTCTGAAAGAGGCAGAGAGAAACTCCATGCGTGTGTGTTCTTTTGTTGCAGTACGCCGGCATCAACATCGGCCCAGTTCATAAAAAGGACGTCATGAAAGCCTCCACCATGTTGGAACACGACCCTCAGTGAGTTCAGTTCTGCTTTAGACCTGCTCTAGTCCTGGTTCAGTCCTTTGTCGTGGATTAACTTGCATAGCTTTCTAATTCTCATACCTACTTTAGACCTGGTTCAGACACTCTTTAGCCCTGCCTTGGACCTGGTTAAGACCTGTTCTCACCCCTCTTGTCCTCAGATACGCTGTGATCCTGGCCTTCGATGTGAAAGTAGAGCGGGAGTCTCAGGAGATGGCCGACAGTTTGGGCGTGAGGATCTTCTGGGCTGAGATCATCTACCACCTGTTCGACGCCTTCACCAAATACCGGGAGGACTACAAGAAGGCCAAGCAGGAGGAGTTCAAGTAAGCACACCCACAACTGCCTTAACGCCGCATTAAAGAAGACGTATAATGACAGTGTGTCCCTCTCTCCTCAGACACATCGCTGTGTTCCCCGTGAAGCTACGAGTTTTACCGCAGTTCATCTTCAACTCAAGAGATCCGATTGTGATGGGAGTGAACGTGGATGCAGGAGTGCTGAAGACGGGGACTCCAGTGTGTGTGCCCAGCAAAGGGGTACGTGTGGAAGCCGATAGAAGAGCTGTTTGGACATGACAGAATGAAATCGGATAGAGGAGCTGTTTTAACTGGACACTGTTAAAGGAGAACAGATAGAATCGGCCCCAAGATTGACCCTTGTGGAACCCCTCCGTTAAATAACAAGAAGTCACAAACTAACAAGTTGTAAAAGTAATAAGATATAAGACATGCGTAAAAGATCTTCGTAGGGTTTCTTAAAATTACTACTGTATACTAGCCTGGTTGTACCACACCACAGTACAAATTACATTTCGTACTAAGGTCTGGAGGAGCTCCGTTAACAGGTGGGAGGGGTTAACTCCTTTTGCAGATTGAAACGATTGGATCTGAGTTTGCCGTGACGTATGTAATGCGCCCGAGTCTGTTGTTAGCATTTAGCATTTAGCCTAGCCATCTCCTTTGCCACTAACGGAGCCCGTGGGGAGTAGAGCCACAATTCTTTCCAGCGATTACATTTGCTAAACATTCCTCTTGCTCCGGCTTCAATTTCTTGATAGAACCAGACCGGAATACTTTACTATCAAATTTTTTGCTATTGCCAAACTACAACCTGCCCGTTTGACGCAAACTCTTGACGTCACTCACAACTAACTACAACACTCTCCTTCCGTGCTCGCTGAAGGAGGAATTCAACCAATTGTAATCGCTAACATAGGGACTAGACCCAGACGTTACATGCAGGGAAATGATGATTGAGTGGAGTGTACGGATGGCTAAGGCCAGGCTAACTGTATACAAGTGCACTATGAATAGAATTTGCCCAAGATTGACCCTTGTAGAACCCCTCTATTGGTGTTTTTCGCTATCATAGGGTGAAATTGACAGAGGAGCTGTTTTAACTGGACGGCACGGTGGCTGAGTGGATAGCACTCTCGCCTCTCAGCAAGAAGGTCCTGGGTTCGAATCCCGGTCAGACCAGGGCCTTTCTGAGTGGAGTTTGCATGTTCTCCCCGTGTCTGCGTAGGTTTCCTCCGGGTACTCCGGTTTCCCCTACCACTAAAAATATGTACAATAGGACTGTGCATGCGCCTCCTGTTCGGCGACCCCGCTCCCATCTCTGTGTGGAGTGAGCGACAAATGCCCAAAAAAATAATAACAATTGTAAACCGCTTTGTGACTCTTGTCTGTGAAAGGCGGTATATAAATAAACATTACTTACTTACTTACATGACTGAGGGAAAGATAAAAGATTTTTTATTTGTCCCCCAGTGTAAATTATATACATATCTGGCAGGAGTAAGTGACATTTTGTTGCAGTACTGTACATTGCATATGATTTGCTGTATTTACTTTTTATTAATGAGATGACATATACAAGCTCATCGTTTCTCATTGTACATGCTGATAGGACATAGAGGAGCTGTTGTATCTGGTTCCTATATATACAACATGAATAGAATCATGATCGACCCTTGTGGAACCCCTTCATTGGCGGTTTTCATGGTCATAGATGGAATGCAATATAACATTTTGTGCTAAACTTTGTCTCGTGTGGTTTTTAGTTCGTGGACATCGGCGTGGTGACCAGTATCGAGATGAACCATAAATCCGTTGACACGGCCAAAAAAGGACAAGAGATCTGCGTGAAGATCGAGCCCATTCCCGGAGAGGCGCCCAAGATGTTTGGCCGTCATTTTGAGGCCACGGACATCATCGTCAGCAAGGTAATGTTAGCATGTATTGTATGGACAGACATCACCACAATGTTAGCTTTAATGCAGAGGAAGCTGATTTAAACATAAACTAGCTGCAGCCAATCTCCTTGTTTGCTACGACGTGGTTAGTTACTGTAAATTCATGTTTCCCCCACAAATGTAGGCATCAGATTGGTTAATCTTTATGGTTTATATCTGGATTTACCCAATATCACATAAACACCAGGATTACAGAGCTCAAAACTGTGTGACACAAACAGATACTGAGATAATGGAGTTTACTTTACATGCAAGTCAATGGGAGCCAGAGTGAGTTTGGGCCAAACTTCACCATGAGCACTTCCCTATTGGACTTCATGGGGCAAGTGGGCTAGGATTGTTTGCCTGTATACAGTCATTGCTAAATACGCCAGTATTATTTAAAATATTTTTTTTAAAACAACCAACGTACAGTATACGTCCAGTTCAAAGAAAAGGTAGTCTTTGTAGAGAGTCCATTCTTATCATCTACAAAAAGTAGAGCTCAGTAAAGTGCATTTAGCATGTTATGTTGAATTAAAACCTCAAATGTGGGGTTCCTCAAGAGTCAGTGTTTGGCCCAACAATACTGTATGTTAAGTAGCTATGTAGATAAACGATGAAATGTGAACTTTTTAGAGGCAATACAAACATAAAAGTTATAAGTTTATGCTTATAAAAGCATAAAAGTGTGCCCCAGGGCAGCTGTGGCTACAGTAGTAGTTTATCACCACCGTGTATGGAGTGAATGAACAATGACACATGTGAAGCGTCTTTGAGTGTCCAAAAAAGCGCTATATAAAACCGATGCATTATTATTATTATTATTAAAAAAGTGCAAGCAAAGCAAGCAGGGATCAGTTCTGGGCAAAACAATATTGTAGGTAAATAAAAAAATTTGTGGGGCGACAGTGGCTCAGTTGGTAGAGCATTGGTCTTTGTGCCTGAAGGTCATGGGTTAGAGTCCACCACAAGACCTTCTTAATGGCTCCCACGGATGTCTGCTGTCGTTGTGTCCTTGGGCAAGACACTTAACCCCACTATGCCTGAAGCCCCCGCTGAAAGATCAAGGCTCCTGTGGACTAACCATCTGCAGGAGGATCAGTGAGGGGCTGGTGCCTTGACCCAGAAATGGATTAAGGGGAAGAAAATCGATGGATGCAAAATGTGTAATAAATTGTGTACTTTGTGGAGATAATACAAAGACAAATCTGATGGACTTTTGTCCTCGCCCTCAGATCAACCGTGCCTCCATAGACGCGCTCAAGAACTGGTTCCGTGACGAGATGCAGAAGTCGGACTGGCAGCTAATCATGGAGCTGAAGAAAACCTTTGAAATCATCTGACACCTTCTCCAAATATGTCAGACAAACAAAACACAAAGACCTGCAGGATTGCCTCCGAGTGCTCCGGGGACTGAGCGTTTCCTGAGACTCCACACGTGCCTGCTCCAAACACAACTCCTGTCTGTCCGCCGCTGAAGACCTGAGGGACGCCGACGTGTATTCATACAAACCAGTGTTTTGATTTCTTCTGGACAAGAGGAGCTGGGAATTTTGCACCAAATGAACATGCAACGCCATGTTGGAGGATTTTAACTCTGTCTGCTGCAGCAGCTGTAAAGAATAAATAATAAAAAGTACATGTGACTCAGATGGAATGGGTTTTTAGTTATTATTAGAATGTTCAAATATATATAAATACAGAATTATTACCAAAATGTGTGGTTTTTCTGTGTTATTATAGTTTGAAATGTTTTGCAATCTATATTTTCATCTTAAGGAAAATTGTGTTTATTTTGATAGTTTTAAGGCTGGGGTATGTAACTTTAAACCCTTAACAAAGGAACTATATACAACATCCATGTCTCTGGTTCCTGGCTCTAAAACAGTTGCCTATATTAGTTTCATGCATCTATGGCCTCTGTCACATCTTTAAATCAGCTTTTCCAGACAGAGAGGAACACACATTCAGCCAATTAACTCTAAGCAAATAGTGACTCTTATGGATCTTGCACAAAAGATAAAATGTTTCCTAATGAGATGAAGAAAGCAGGTCGTGGTCTGATTTGATCACAGAATTTTACTTTAAGAGTATTTTTGCTACATGTTATTTGAGACAGAAAATGTAGGTACCACAGCTTTAACATATATATATATACACACACACATAAAGGGGTTGAAAATGAATGAATGAATGAGCAGGTTAGCATCGTCCATCTGTCTATAAAAAAACATTACTTTTCATAAATTTAATTCAATAGCTTACATTCATATGACAGTGAACGACACAGACATGTTACATTTAATATTAATCAGTAACGCACATGTTTTTAATTTAGATGTATTTGATGTGTGTCCCCTGATGCTCCTGTAGGTGTCGCCAGAGGCCGCAGAGAACCCGGATGTAGACACTGATGCGGTTTGTGAATGTGACAGGAGCAGGGCGGATTCTACTGAACATTTATCACATTTACACATTAATAATTATTCACACATTCAAAGTCTCACGGACCGGACTCTCTGCTGCTGAAACATGACGGGATCAGAGGAAACTCAAACCACATATGAGGTCAATACAAATATACGCTGTAATGCATTTTCTGCCCAGGACTAGGGCTGATACTGCTGCTGCTAATACTGCTGCTGCTGCTGCTGCTGCTGCTGCTGCTAATACTGCTGCTGCTAATACTGCTGCTGCTGCTGCTGCTAATACTGCTGCTGCTGCTGCTACTGCTGCTGCTGCTGCTGCTAATACTGCTGCTGCTGCTGCTGATACTGCTGCTGCTGCTGCTAATACTACTGCTGCTAATACTGCTGCTGCTAATACTGCTGCTGCTGCTGCTGCTGATAATACTGCTGCTGCTAATACTGCTGCTGCTAATACTACTGCTGCTACTAATACTGCTGCTGCTGCTGCTGCTACTGCTGCTGCTGCTGCTAATACTGCTGCTGCTACTAATACTGCTGCTGCTGCTTATAATACTACTGCTGCTGCTTATAGTACTACTGCTGCTACTTATAATACTACTGCTGCTACTTATAATAATACTACTGCTGCTGTTACTACTGCTGTTACTACTACTAATGCTGCTGCTTATAGTACTACTGCTGCTACTTATAATACTACTGCTGTTACTACTACTACTGCTGCTGCTAATACTACTGATACTGCTGCTGCTTATAATACTGCTGCTGCTAATACTGCTGCTTCTGATACTACTGCTGCTGATGCTTATAATACTACTGATACTGCTGCTGCTTATAATACTGCTGCTGCTGCTTATAATACTACTGCTGCTGCTAATACTACTGATACTGCTGCTGCTACTACTGCTGCTTATTCCACTACTACTACTGCTGCTAATAGTGCTGCTGCTGCTGATATTACTGCTGTTACTACTACTACTGCTGCTGCTTATTCTACTACTGCTGCTAATACTATTGCTGCTATTACTAATACTGCTGCTGCTACTACTGCTGCTACTACTGCTGCTGCTACTACTGCTGCTACTACTGCTGCTGATACTACTGCTGTTACTACTGCTGTTACTACTACTTCTGTTACTACAGCTGTTACTACTACTGCTGCTGCTGCTGCTACTTCTGCTGTATCTACTGCTGCTTCATTCTCTTGTTTCCAGCTTCACTAAAGTCTTCCTCTTTTTCAGGGTTCGTTCGGGGCTCAAGAAGCAGAAGTCATCGTCAAAGAGGTTAGTCTTGGCCCGGTCTCATCCTGGTTTCAGTCCAGTCTCATCCCGGTCTGTTTTAGATCCAGGAACCAGGGATTTTATGACAGGGTTCTCTTGTTGTGGTCTGAAAGTTACGACCTCCAGCTTTAACTGTTTCCATTTTGAACTTGGATCCAGAATGATCAGGTGGTTTGTATGTTCTTGTTTGGTCTGAATAGTTGCTTTGATCTTTAGTCCTGCTGTAGACCTGCTTTAGTCTCTGCTGTAGTCTCTGCTGTAGTCTCTGCTGTAGTCTCTGCTGTAGTCTCTGCTGTAGTCTCTGCTGTAGTCTCTGCTGTAGTCTCTGCTGTAGTCTCTGCTGTAGTCTCTGCTGTAGTCTCTGCTGTAGTCTCTGCTGTAGTCTCTGCTGTAGACCTGCTGTAGTCTCTGCTGTAGTCTCTGCTGTAGTCTCTGCTGTAGTCTCTGCTGTAGTCTCTGCTGTAGTCTCTGCTGTAGTCTCTGCTGTAGTCTCTGCTGTAGTCTCTGCTGTAGACCTGCTGTAGTCTCTGCTGTAGTCTCTGCTGTAGTGTCTGCTGTAGAGCTGCTTTAGAGCTGCTTTAGAGCTGCTTTAGTCTCTGCTTTGTGCCGTTCCCTCTGGCTCATGTTTTTGTTTCCCCTTGTGACTGAATCCTGACTCTGATGATGTGATTTTATAATTAGTGATTTTATAGTTAGACTTTTTTCCACATTTCTGAATTCTGTACTTTTTGTGTTTTTGGTTCAGAGCATCGACGCCACCATCGGAGCAGAGGACTACAACAAAAACCTAATCAATAAGTGGACGGCGGCCATCTTGGAACGCAGCCTCAGCGAGCTCTGCAAACTGGGCAAGCACTACAAGTATATAGGTGAGAACTGGACCGGGTCTAAAGCACAGACTGTAAATATTAACGGACGTAGTCAAGCCTATCTCCGCCGTTCAAACTAATGTGCCATCACTTTCGCCGTCTGTGGGCAGTTCCAAAATGGCCGTGGGGGCTGGAAAATGTGAAAAAACGCAATTGAAAAAATATCTGCGCATGCGTCACCCGGCACAAGCCACGTTCATTTGACGAGTGCCTTTAAAATTCCCACGCCGACTAAACTAGACTGGCCCAAAAAAATACACCCCCTCAGCATTGACACACATGTGGAACCGAGCTTTGGACCAAGAGCAACTTTTGGACCATCCTGTAAAGGTGTTTTTGAGAGGTGAGAAGATACGTACATTAGCATTGAATAATTCTTATTCTTGGTCCACCCCCACTGGCCTGGGGTGGTATTGCAAGCATGTCAGTTCATTTTTGTCATTTTTGAGCCGGGAGTTGCCCTCACTGGACTAAAGCAGGTCTAGAGGTCTATATGTGGGTTTTAATGTTTGTTTGAAGTTTGGTTTAGGTACTGGTTTAACTGCTGTCAAAAACTACATTACGCAGGGTTGCCAGGTTGGTTGGTTTCCAGCATACTTTTGCTCCAAGCGACTCGGTAATAAATCATTAAAAAGACAATTGTAAGTAAGTAAGTGATCTTTATTTATATACCACCTTTCACAGACCAAAGTCACAAAGCGGTTTACAATTGTTATTTTTTAAGCATTTGTCTCTCACTCCACACAGAGATGGGAGCGGGGTCGCCAGTACAGGAGGCGCATGCCAGACCTATTGGACATGTTTTTAGTGGTAGGGGAAACCGGGAGTACCCGGAGGAAATCTACGTAGACACCGGGAGAACATGCAAACTGGACCTTTTTTACTTATTTTGGCAAAAAATTATTCTGGGTGGTTTTTTTGGGCTGGAAAATCTTGCCAGCATCTGGCAACCCATGGGAGTTGTGTGCTGAATCGTGTGCTTTGATGCGAGTAGTGGTTTATCCATTCATATCCAAGGATTTTATTACAAGGCCCTGCTGTCTGAAATACATCTCCTATCGAGAAATCCCAGACTCTTGTAAAGCAGGTCTTAAAGCAGGTCTTAAAGCAGGACTGAAGCAGGACTGAAGCAGGACTGAAGCAGGACTGAAGCAGGACTAAAGCAGGACTAAAGCAGGACTAAAGCAGGACTAAAGCAGGACTAAAGCAGGACTAAAGCAGGACTAAAGCAGGACTAAAGCAGGACTAAAGCAGGACTAAAGCAGGACTAAAACAGGACTAAAACGGCTCTAAATCCTTGTTTCAGTGACTTGTGCAGTGACGCAGAAGACCGGAGCTGGACTACATTCGGCAAACTCCTGTTTCTGGGACACGGCTCTGGACGGTGACACATTTTTGAAACTCTTTGAATGATTGTTTATCCAGATTCTCTCAAAGTATTAATACAACTTGAACCTAATGTTTACAGCCATAAATATCAAGATTTTTTTTTGATGTTTTATTTCCTGAAAGTTCACACATGAGTAACAGACTATGAAGTGTAAGTAAAATGATACATGATTCTGTTGTTTTTTTTTTTATCGAAAAACCAAGAGGTTGGGCACAAGTATTCTACATCTATAAGACACAAAGTTTAGCCCCTTTCCCTGTGTCGTTGTAACACGTGACTATGTGTGTAACCTCCCATTGTGTTTAGGTCATTGTTCTGCTGAAGGAGCCTCTCTTCTGCTGAAAATGTCCCTGCATTTGGCTCCATCCATGTTCCCAGCTATTCTTACAATCTTCCCTGTCCCTGCTGAAGAAAAGCAGCCCCATGGCATGATGCTCCCCCCACCATATCTGACACTGGGGATGTCATACATAACGTTTTGCTGTTGGGCCAAAAAGTTCATTTGTTGTCTCATTTGAGCAGAGCACCTTCTCCCACATGGTGCTGTGTGACGTCTGGTAAATGTCATATGGTTGTGAAAATGTGCAAAGGTTAAGGATATTAGTACTTTCCAGAGGCATAGTATATTTACTATATAATATGTATTTCATAGCTGTGTGTGTGTGTGTTGCAGGCAGCTGTACAGTGAAGTGGGAGAATCGCACCATGTTCTGCATCGTCAGTGTCTTTGCTTTGTCCACGGCTTAAAATCAAAACATTTGTTTCTTTTCAAAAGTGTCTGAGATCAAACTGCCTTTTAATTTCTTTGCCTTTTTCACCAAACGCCTGCAATAAAAATCACATGTTTCTCTGATGTTGTTGTTTGTGACTCAAAACACGTGAGTGTCATGAGAAATGCACAACACTCCCATCTGGCATCGAAAGAGGGGACTGCACTGACTCTGGAGAAAAGGGTTTAAACATGATCTCTCCAGAGAGACTGAAGCATTAAATTAGTGAGTCATGTGATACAATAGAAACAAGGATTTTAGGTCAGGAAAACTTAGAGCAGTAAAGTGTGTGTGATAGTCTGATTTTTGTTAGTAAAAAAAATGTTAGTTGTCTGGGAACTGGAGGCATTTGGAAATGGGAAGTTTTGAAATGTTGAGATTTCGTGAATATTTCAACACCAAAAGTTGCAGCAGTTTGGACAAGATCTTGTCATTAACACAAGGTTACATGTAAGAAACAATGGAAATGGATTTGTTAAAGATGAGACTGAAGCCGAGACTTTTTATTGATAAAACATTTATTAACAATGTTTATTTGACAAACAATTTGAGGTAAAATCTTCAGCGCGGGTTTAAAGCAGGAGGGTGTAACAAACCCAAGACTGAAATTCCAGGAGCCATATGCCTAAATAATCTGATCGTCTTAGATAGCTCCTAAGTTAAACTAATAACTCCTAGCTCGGAGTCTTAGCTTAAAAGTGATTCCAGAACTACAGTATCTCAGAGAACTCTGAACAAGGAATGGACAAAAACTCCTATCTTAAACCCCATTGCTAAGTATAAGTCATCTTTGTGATTGGTTGATCCTAAAAGTTAGAGAAAACATACTTTTGGTGATAATGGGCAAAATAAGGACTCTCAAATGGATAAACTTAATCATGAAATCTTAGGAAGACTGTGCCATTGTAAATAATCTGCACAAAAGATAGAATGTAAAATGAATGCTGTGACTATAAGTTACTGCTTACTAATATTTTTCAATCATCATACAGAATGTGTTCAAACTTAGGCCCACGTACACAGTTTTAACACAGTGATAGTTATATTTATTTGATAATATTAATTGCCATGCTGGTCATTTTTTCTCTTTCAACTTTTACTGTGATTTCGGATCAGCCTATACAAAGCCGTGTTGGTTGACTTTTTAAATACCACAAACACTGAAAATCTATGGAGAATAAAAGAAAGAGGAAACCCAACGGGAAAGAGGAACAGTGTTTGCTTCTGGCTCAATTGGTCAATGAGCATAAAAGTGACTTGAGAGGTAAATTTGGCCCCACTCTCATCCAGTTTTTGTAGAAAATCTCTCTTGCCTCTTCCGTCCACCATTTTTTCCTCTAAAGGAAGTCGCTAAAAGTCCTCCTAGCTACTCTTAAGAGATCTCTCCTTAGTAGCGCTCTTAAGAGCTAGGGTTCTTTAGGAATAGCTTTTTTCATAACTAGGATGTACTCTTCACTTTTAGGGGAATTTCTAAGAATATTCTTAGAATTTGGCCACTAGGAGCAACTCTTAGAGCTAAGAATCTTCAGGAATACAGCCCCTAGACCTGGCTCTTAAAGCAGGTCTGAACCCGGATCAGAAGTTCTCCTTGTTGAAGATGAACTTGACGTCGTCCTCTGAGTGCGACAGACACTGTTTCTCCAGAGCCTTCCCGAGCTGTGGAGGTCCACACAGGAACACGCCCACTTTAGTCCTGCAGTAGAAGAAGAGACCAGTGAAGCTAACAGGAGCTAAGAGCTAATGAGCTAACACCTGTGAGCTCTGCACCTGTTCGAGTCTGTCTCAGCCAATCACAAACAAGACACAAGTTAGAACGAAAAGGGCTCTGAGCATAAACTGTATGAAGCTGATGTGCGGGTTCCTCAGGGGTCGATCCTGGGACTCACATATGCTCTTTAACATTGACATAAATATTATAGCAGTAGTAAAAGTAGCAGAAGTAGTAATAGCAGTAGCAGTCACAGTCGTAAGTATCAGTAGTAGTAGTAGTTTTAGTAGGAGCAGCAGTTGTAGTAGTAACAGGGGTAGTACTTTGGGTGTTTGGAGGCGATGCAGCTGAACTCGTTGTCCCAGTTTGGTTTTCCGTACAGAGTTTTCTGTTTGAGTCCTGTGATCGGGTCGTTCTCCGCCTCGTGATGAACACGGAAGTGAGCCGCCTGCAAAACAGTAGTAGTAAAAGCAGTAGCAGCAGTAATACTTGTACGGGTACTCCTACCTCCTGCTCCTTCCAGCGCGTCAGGTAGATGTTGTAGCTCAGGAAGTCGCTCATATCTCCCTCATTCATCTGTTTTTCCAGCGACTGCAGCAGATCAGCAAACCACTCGAAGGCCTCAGTGTCCGGACACAGCCAGTAGAAGTAGATCTGAACCAGAGCAGAGCAGGCTCAACTAGACCAGACCAGACTGAACCAGACCAGAGTGAACTAGGACATAGCCAGCAGAAGTATGTCAGGGTTTCTCACCTTCTTGCTATTGCTCCCCTGGGACTCACCTTCTTGGTGGCTGTCTCCTAGTCCCCTCTCCTGCTATTCCTGGTTCTCACCTTCTTGGTGTCTGTTTCCTGGTCCCCTCTCCTGCTACACCTGGTTCTCACCTTCTTGGTGAAGGTCTCCTGGTTCTTCTGGACGTGCTTGTACCACACAGACTTGAGGATGGAGGCAAAGGGCGTGACCCCGATCCCAGCTCCCACCAGCATCACCACCTGGTACTGGAACACGTCCTCAGAGGCCGTCCCGAACGGACCATCAATGGCTACCCTGAGGACAGAGGTCATCTGTCTCTCAAACTATTTTCATGTATTAGATTGAGAAATAAAGTCATATGGGTCTTTCTATTGTCTGGCCTCACCCTGGTCTACTACCTCTCTAGTCTCTCTGGTCTCTCTCTGGTCTCTCTCTGGTCTCTCTCTGGACTCCCTCTCTAGTTTCTCGCTGGTTTCTCCAGTTTCTCTCTGCTCTCTCTTTCGCTTGACTCCCTTACTAGTCTCTGGCCTCTCTCTGTTCTCTCTCTGCTCTCTCTCGCCCTGGACTCCTTCTCTAGTCTCTCTGGTTTCTCTCAGCTCTCTCTCTCTAGTCTCTGGTCTCACTTGGGCAGGCTCCAGGCTTGCTGCTGTCCTGGCTGGTCCCCCCCGCAGGCCTTGTAGAGCCCCTCGGTCCAGTCGCCCACGATGCGGACGTGGACGCTAAAGTGGTCCTCCTCTGGGGCTGAGGTGAGGGTGAAGGGGTGCCACTCCAGCCGGGACACGCCGGGACACTGGACGAACACGTACTGTCCCACCTCCATCCGGAAACCCTTCCTCCGCATTTGCAGCTCCAGGGTCCGGGACGGGTGCATCACCACCTGAGACCCAGACCCAGGTAAAGCTGGGGTATGTAACTTTCACACCATAGTATTTTAATTATGTCATGTTGTAAAGTGTTGATACAAATGTATGGAAAAGACCAGGGAGACTAGAGAGGGAGTCCAGAGAGAGAGAGAGCAGAGAGAAACCGGAGAGAGACCAGAGAGAGACCAAAGAGAGAACCAAAGGGGTGCTTCTTGAGCACTGTGTTGTGAGAGAGACCAGAGAGGGAGAGACACAAGAAAGAGAGAGAGCAAGAGAGAGACCAGTGTTGTGTCCTGACCTTTGTGATGACGACTTTCTGGTGTGATCGGTAAAATCGGACGAGTCTCTCACACAGATACAAGAACATGGGGCCGACCACATACATCCAGGTCTGAAGGAACCAGAGAGAGAGAGAGAACCAGAAGCATTCAGAGATTATAACTGTCAACACAAACACTGTCCTGCGAGTCCCACAGTCCCAGATGTTTTGCCACAGTGTTTTTGTTAGCATCATGTGACTTGGAAAAAATGAAAATTTACTTTCGTCAACTAAATAATCAGAGTCTGATTCTGGATCGCGGGCGTAAGGCTCAATGTGACGGATCGCCATTGTTGGAAAAAGTTATTCTCAGGTCTGAAATGAGTTGTGTGTTTACCTCTAAGTCAGTGTTTTGAGTGTTGTATTCTGTATCACCCAAATTATTATCACAACTGTGCTTTGGACGTACTCTGAAACCTGAAGGAGAGCCAAACATTGGACCTTTAAGCTAAAACTTCTGCTTCACACAAATCCTCCTCTCACACACACTCACCACTGGGGCGTTTCCCGCAAACTCGGGCACCGCACATTGAGACCCGTTCTGGCCCCAGTCCTGGAAGAGTTCAGAGCAGTTCTCTGGAGGATCCGACCTCAGACTGACATCGGTTTGACCACGAACTATCCGTCTGCACATACACATGTTCAGAGCAGTGAGAGAGGGGTTTCTGGGCTCTCTCTATTTAGTCTTCTCTGGTCTCTCTCTGGTTTAACTCTGGTCTCTCTTTCTCTGGGGTTTCTTTCTGGTCTTTCCCTGGTCTCTCTCTCTGGTCTCTCTCTCTGGTCTCTCTTTGGTCTCTCTCTTTTCTATCTTTCTGGTCTCTCCCTGGTCTATCTCTCCTCTCTCTCTCTGCTCTCTCTCTGGTTTCTCTCTTTGGTCTCTCTCTGTTCTCTCTGGTCTCTCTCTGGTCTCTTTCTGGTCTTTCTCTCTAGTCTCTCTCGGGTCTCTCTCTGGTCTCTTTCTGGTCTCCCTCTGGTCTCTCTCTGGTCTTTCTCTCTGGTCTCTTACTGGAATCCGTGGAAGACGAGTCCAATGAAGAAGATGATGAAGAGGTGATGTGTGAACCAGAAGACCTCGAAGTAGGACCTGCGGATGACCTCAGTGGACGAGGTGATGATTAGGATGAGAGCGAGAGTGATGGCGACTCCTGTGAGACCTGCGACTGTGGTGAAGAGGACTACTGTCTGGGACTGGGAGAGAGAGAGAGAGAGAGAGAGAGACTGAAAACAGACTGTTCAGAGAGTGAGTCAAAATTCAGTTTTTAATACATTAAAAAGTAAAACAAAGTGAGAACAATAGTATAACGTTGACTGAACTAATCAAGGACCACCAGGTCTCAGCGTCTTGGAAAAACCGTTGACCTTTGATGGTCACGAGCGTCGCCTCCGTCTAAAAGAAGTCTGTGATGATGAAAGGAGGAAGCAGTGATCGGGGAAACTCAGTCTGACGAAACTTCAATCTTTGTTATTGAGACACAGTGAAAACAATTAGGTTTGATGCTTAGACTAAACTAGGTCTGAGAAACCAGAGAGCAGAGACTGAAGCAGAGACTGAAGCAGAGACTGAAGCAGCGACTGAAGCAGCGACTGAAGCAGGTCTAGACCCTGGTTCTCACCGTCTGGTTGTTGCGTATGGGGTTGATGAAAGGCAGACTGTCGTTGGTTCCAATCTCAGAGAGAACGAACGGGAGCAGAGTCCGGTTCTGGTCCAACTGGGCGTTCATGAAGAACTCAAAGTTAAACAAGTGAGCGATGATGTGAACCGCTATAACAGAAGACAGAAACCATAAAGAGAGAGCAGAAAGAGACCAGAAACAAATCAGAGAGAGACTAGAGAGAGACCAGAGGGAGACCAGAAAGTGAGACCAGAGAGAGACCAGAGAGAGACCAGAACGAGAGACCAGAGAGCTGGGGCTGGGTCCTCTCTGGCTCGTACCTGTGTGGAAGGCGATCATATAAGCCACCAGTTTATGGAAGGTGATGTTGCGATCCAACTGTCGCGCTGCGGTTCGACTGCAGCACTGAAGCAAACACACAACCCATTGAAATGAATCAGAGCAATGTGAGCCTGTGTCCTGTTACTACTGTGAGTGTTTTTGTGCTGAGAGCTGATTGGCTGAGTGAGGGTGGTCCTCTCTTTGTCACTTTCTTCTGGGACTGTGTGGACCGGGCTAATGTCTGAAGTGGTATCCTAGCTCTGTGCCGCGAGGAGCTTAAAGTCCTAACTTTTTGTTATTTGCAGATAAAAAAAATCACAGAAATGACAAAAAAGTGTCATATTTCTCGCCTCAAATGTTGTTAAAGGTAAAATTTGTGCCTCTATTTATTGTATTATTAATCAGAACTGGTTCTGTTGAGTGACTCCACTTTTCAGACGCTTAATCCTCCTCATTTTTGATATGAAAAGTTTTTTACTTATTCAAACTCTACATGGTGTGCACTGCATTGAAAATAGTTTTCACTCAAAATAAGAGAGATACTAATCCGTGAAAAGCTCCTTTGTGTATGATTTCCGCTTCGCCCATTATAATTTATAGAACAAAATCACTTCCTGTTCTACGGCCCCTTTCCACACCACCTTTTGGTCATGTGGTTGCAACCCAGCAGTTACTGTAGATTACAGAGTTCTAATGTTGTGGATTGAATGTTATGTGCTTCAGCTTTAATGCCTGCTGTCATGTCTGGTACCTGGATGGTTCCTCGCAGCAGGGACAGCAGGTTCCTGCAGACCGGCAGCAGGATCAACATACAGTTAAAGTTCAGACACGCAGCAGGAGCTCTGGCCCAGGACAAGGCATGCTGATGAGAGGAGAGACTGTTAGAGGTACTGATGCTACTGCTAGTACTGCTAGTACTGTATTACTACTGCTGCTATAACTACTACTGCTAATAATCAGTTTTGTATAGCGCTTTTTTGGACACTCAAAGACGCTTTACATGTCATTATTCATTCACTCCATACACGGTGGTGATAAACTACAACTGTAGCCACAGCTGCCCTGGGGCACACTGACAGAAGCGAGGCAACCAGTATGTGCCATCGGCCCCTCCGACCACCACCAACCATTCACACAGACACCAGGCTCATTCTAGGCAATGGGGGTCAAGTGTCTTGCCTAAGGACACAACAGCAGATTGGCAGTTTACAGCCGCAGCCGCCCCACTGTGGCTGGTGTTCCCAGAGGTTAAGTGTCTTGCCAAGGACACAACGACAGCAGACAGTGGGAGTCAATGGTGAAAGTCGGGCTCAAACCCAAAACCTTCTGGCTCAAAGGCCAATGCTCTACCAACTGAGCTACTGTCGCCCACTGCTACTACTGCTACTGAAACTAATACTACTTCCACTGCTGCTGCTGCTGCTACAGTGAGGTCAGTAGCAGCTGTGAGTTTGGAGGAAGTGAAAACTGTTGTTTTCTTTTAGGAAATGATTAAGCTTTAAGGTTCAGAATCACAATCTGTGATAGCGGTTTTTCCAACGTGACGTTTCACACCGCTTTAGCAACGAGAGTTCTTCACCAGGATCCCCACACTGTAGAAGAAAAGTAGCCCCGAACCCTCATGTTTCCACCCCCAGGCCTCAGAGTGGGAAGAGACTGAGGCAGAGACTGGAGAAAAGACTAAAACAGAGACTCACGCCAAGCAGGACCCTGGTGTAGAACCATTTTGGAGTGAGAAAAGCCAGGTAGAAGTGAACGAAGAGGAAGACGTTGATGCCAAACCAGACAAACTGTAACAGAGACAAAAACAGTTTTATTTTCAAAGTGAATTCAGAGAGAGACCAGAGAGAGACCTAGACTTTTTTTTTTTTTTTTTTGAACGATGCGCCTGGAAACGACTGCAAGTCCTAAGTAGCTCTAAAACAGTTGTTGTTTTGTGCTTGATCAATTTTTATTTTTATTGCTTTTTTCTGCCTGAGATGTTGCTGCAGTACAGTGTGCAAAGTTTTGCACTGGCTACTCCATCTCTGCTGCTGCGACCCGTCCTGCTCCACCCAGAAGCTACTCCACCTCTGCTGCTGTGACCTGAAGGACTGTGGCTGACTATTACTATTGTTAGCTTTTTAGAATGATCAATTTTATTTTTTATTTTTGCTACCACTGGACATCTGAATTTCTATCTATCTATCTGAATTTCTATCTATCTAGAAAGAGAGCGAGAGACCACAGAAAGAGTCTAGAGAGAGACCATAGATGGACCAGAGAGAGATTCAAGCTGTATTCTGACTCTTATAACCCACTATTTTAAAGCTAGTGTACACAACCTTTAAAACAGTTTTATTTAAAACAGTTGGTTCTGTCACTAGTTTCATGTATGTATGCCTGTCACATCTTTAGATAAACTTTTCAGGCAGAAAAGACAAATAGAGGAGCCCCCCCATCACTCAGCCAATCAACCCCAAGCCCAAAGAGGCAAATAGTGATTCACAGGGATCTTTCTTACTCAAAATATAACATGTCTTCTACTATGACTGTCTATTGCTTAGGTATTATTCATTATAATTAGAATTTTAATGTACTTACGATGACAAACACAGACAGCCCTTCATTTGCTGCAAAATTCCCCATATTGTATTTGATCAGTAGATGTTGAATGAATCAGATGTGAATGACCAGAGTTGGAGTGGAGTGAGGAGAGCAGGTGAGAACAGGGTGGTTTTGATCTGAGAATGGAGCTGTGTGATTGGACAGAAACCAGGAAGTGAGCAGTAATCGTAATGTAATGAGGAAACTCTGGTTTTGAGAAACTGTGGTTTATGGGACAAGAGATAAGAAAGACTCAAGCAGTGGTAGTAGCAATAACAGTAGGAGCAGCATCAGGCTGACGCAACAACACAAACACAGTCCCCATATCTTAGATTTCTCCAGTTGGAACGGGAGACAATGATCTTGTGCAGCAGAACATTTTCACTTTTACGTAATGTTTTTATTTTTTTATTTAGACTTTATTAAGGACTCACATGCAAGCACAGGATCCATAGCACTGCATTTTATTTTCCATTAGGAGAACAATCACAAAAGCAACGGTTGCTACGGCAATCTATAACTCTTCTTTAATGCAGATGTCCACTTTGCTTCAGACTCTCCACGCCACTAGATCCATCATTGCACTGAAATGAAATCACTCAAAGTACTCCACCACCATCCACTCTGCAACGGCTCTTCTTCTGTGATGATCCACTGTTGGACCGAAGACCCGCAGTGTATGAACATCAGTCTCTGCTGCTGATGCTTCTGATGTTGTGCCTGTTGGAGGTTAAGATGTAGGTAAGATTCATGAAAATCATGTTTTAAAAAAGGGAAGTAATTTTTTTTTAAGTGAAGTAAAACTTGACACATTTCCTGTTTCACAAAAGTTGTGGAAATCACCGGATCTAAGCCACGTTCACCGGCTCAGATCACTGTGGGGTTACTCTCTCAGAAAGTAGTGTCATTCTGTCTTTTTTGGATTCTCTAAGATGTAGGACACAAACTAGACTAATAAGTTGTTTTGATAGAATACAGAAGATAGAATCTGAAAAAGCCATTAATGGTATAACCAAACAATCAGGAGCAATCACAAATGATCCACAGGACATTAACAATCCTTTGAAAAACTTTTGTCAATCATTGTATTGATCAGAATCTGTTGCCAAGACAATTTCCTTAATCCTCTTTCATTTCGAGAACTCACGGAGGAAGATTTGGATAATGACATCACTGTACAAGCCATAAAAAGCCTAAATTCTGGTCAAGTTCCTGCACCTGTTAGTTTGCCTATAGAATTTTACAAAAGTATCTGACTCCTCTCTTGAATATGTTTAATTAATCCTTTGATATCACTAAGTAAACTGCACTTATTTCAAAACCTGGTAAAATAGCAACTGACTGCTCATCATATAGGCCTATTATTAAGTAGTAGTAGTAGAAGTAGTAGTAGTAGAAGTAGTTTATTCGGTCAAGCATGAGAAACAAAGTTACAGTTAACTGTCAACAAAACAGCAGAATTACAATATGCGACCGAAGGGTTCAGGCTGAAGTTAAATTTATTTCGCCTGACCCAGTACAAGGAAACGGATCGTTTCCATAGGAACACAAAATATACAAGCTGAAACAATACAAGCTGATACAGTATCAGCAACGTCCAGTAACGATGAGTAACAAAAGGAAACAAAGGTTTAGCCTATAGCCAAGTTACAAATATTCAGACCATTGTTCGGTATTTATCAACAATTTGGGATTTAATCCCCCTTTTAAACAATTTCAAAGTTTTTGCTGTTTTTAAATGGTCATCGAGATTGTTCCATAACGTGACTCCACTCACTGAGACACATCTACTTTTTATGTTTGTTCTTGCCCAGTCCTTTTTGAAATAACCAGTTCCCCGAAGGCTGTACAGACTTTCTCTTAGTTTAAAAAGTTTCTGGATACAAGGTCTCATGGGAATAGACACAAAAATATGATGTAAAGTCCTTGCAAAAAGATTAGACCCATACCTTCCCTCTTTAGTACGTAATGGATCAGAATGGATTCGTGAGGAGCCGACAGGGCTTTCACAACATTAGACGAGTTCTTAATATAATACTCTGTAAAAACAATGCCAGAAACGCAGCATTGTTGTCTCTAGATGCAAGACAGGCATTTGATAGAATCGAGTGGCCTTATTTATTCTATGTCCTGCCGAGATATGGAATCGGGGGAAGTTTTTTGAATGGATACAGTTACTATACTCTGATCGTGAAGCATGTGCTAAGGACCAATAACAATATATCAAGCACAATAACCTTAGAAAGATCGACTCGGCAGGGCTGCCCTCTGTCTCCATTAGTGTTTATTCTGGCCATTGAGCCACTAGCCATATCAATTAGAAATGAAACAAGTTGATCAGGAATTGATATTGGAGACAAAGGCCATAGAATATCATTATTTGCTGATGATGTGATACTTTTGTTGTCCAAATTATCCATCAACATCCCAGCAATATTACAGTTAATTAATACATTTGGTAGGTTTTCGGGATACAATAGCAATGACACAAAATCTTCCTAAACAATGAGGAAAGTGAGTAAGTAAGCTTTATTTATATACCGCCTTTCACAGACCAGAGTCACAAAGCGGTTTACAATTGTTATTCTTTTTTGGGGCATTTGTCCTCTCACTCCACACAGAGATGGGAGCGGGGTCGCCGAACAGGAGGTGCATGCCATACCTATTGCACATATTTTTAGTGGTAGGGGAAACCGGAGTACCCGGAGGAAACCTACGCAGACACGGGGAGAACATGCAAACTCCACTCAGAAAGGCCCTGGTCCGGCCGGGATTCGAACCCAGGACCTTCTTGCTGAGAGGCGAGAGTGCCATCCACTCAGTCACCGTGCCGTCCCAAAGGAATAATCCAGTCATACAATTGTCGTTTCTTAATGCAAAGGAAGGTTTTACTTATCTTGGAATTAAGATTACCCCAAATCAAAACAATTGTTAAAGAAAATTATGATCCTTTTATGGGTGAAGTATGTGAATCTATTGAAAAATGAACAACAATGACTGTTTCAATGATAGGCCCAATTAATTTAATCAAGATACTGATACGGCCGAAATATTTTCACTTGTTTCAATCACTGCCACTGCCAAATAATTTTATTCAGGAAATCAACAAGATTCTTAGTAGATTTATCCGGAACAATAGAAAATCTAGACTGATTACTTTACGGTCCGTTTCAAAAAGAACCAAAGAGTACAGACTGAAACGGTAATACTGACCTGTAATTGGGAAAAAAGGGCATATTATTAATGTTCAATGACCAACATCTAAAATATTTAATTGCAACAAAACATTTTCCCAAGTATTTACAACTGAAGCATTTTATTTTGTCAGAAGATAGAGAGCACCTGTTCAGGAGCCGCTGCTGTCCGTCTGGAGAAGGTCAGGATGAAGCATGGACAGTGGAAACACCAAATCTCTATATTATATGCTGCTCTTGCACTTTTTGGAAAATGGTTGTCTGTTCCTAAGTAGCATCACAAACATTCTATACTGTGCACTGCAAAACTTTCTGGGGGTAAACCCAGACTATCCCTCTAGTAACAACAATGACAGGACTAATGGACTTTGGCCTCCTGCAGGAGGAGGGTGGCTTTGAGCTGGAAAGAGCCTGAAGTATCCTATGCACAGTCATGGTGTGTTACTCTAGAGAACATATGTTGTAAAGCAGAAAGGCACAGCACTTTGAAGAGATGTGGACACCTTTAATTGACTTTCTTCAAATGTACGACATTTATAAACGAAGCAGCCAAACACCAAAATACACTGATCTAAATCTATAACTGCGGCGACAGACAACGGTAAAAAGATGATGTCCTCCACACTACAACACCTATATGATTAGTGCTTTACTTCATCTAAACAACATGTATTATTTATAGCGCACAAAGTCAGGGACCTCAGCTTTAACCTGAAGTACGTAGCTCCTGAATCCTGTGCATTCAGTCGTTAGCGTCTCCGCTAGCCCGGTTCGAACAAGATAAATGACCCGCGTCGCTAGTTCAGGCTTCGCGGCTAACGGCGTCCGTGTCGCACATTAATCATGCTAATCCGTGGCTCTTGGGACACAGCGCTCGAGCCGCAATATTCAAATCAGAGCAATTACCTCCTGAACTATGTCTCCTCGTCGTCTTCTTGCCGCCGCCGTGACCTCAGCGCCACGGCCAAAGACAGCGCTCCGGAGGCTGCGCGGGAGAACCAGAGATAAGGTTGCACTATTAGCACAAAGGGAACACTTACGGTTTATGCTAATCTAAGAATCCTCCTGTTTGGAGCCGTGTGGGATTTAAAAAGAGCGAAACAAGCTTTTGTCAGGTAGAATTGCGCTTTTGACATTTGGAATAAGGTTAAAGTGAGATTTATTAAGTAGTGCTGTCAAACGATTAAACTATTTAGTCACGATTAATTGGATTAATGTCATTGTAACTTGGATTAATCACAATTAGTCGTATATTTGTCCCTGTTAAAAATGTAAAAGCAAATATTAATCCAGTGTTTTTCAACCAGTGGGCTGTGGTATGTTTGTGTGCCTTGAGAGGATGGATGGTGTTCCATTTGGTCAAAATACTGTGAAATTGGTAAAAATATTGAAAAAGTGAAGATTAGAAAGACTTTTTTGCCCTTTTTGATTTTCTTTTTCTGTTTCAATGAGAAAGGTGTGCCACGGCTCAAACAGCGCACGTTAATTATTTTTTTCATTAATCGCGTTAAGAAAAATAACGCATTGACGCATGTACGGAATGACCCGCCCATGCATCCCATAATAACAATAAGAATGGTTGTGTTTCTTAGTTTTATATTTTTAATAAATTTGCAAGAATCTCAAACTTTTTTAGTGTCATCATTATGGGGTGTTGTGTGTAAAACCCCAACATAGAATAAGGCTGTAACATAACAAAATTGAAGCGCTGTGAATACTTTCCGGGTGCACTGTAACTCTGGGGGAGCTCGTCCTTCCATCTTCAAGTCACCGGTGAGTCTGCGCTGCTCCGTGTGCAGCGGCCCATGCTGCACCTCGTGGGAGAGTTTTCCGTATCAGCGGTAAACC